CTGACAGTCACCCCCAACTACGCTTTTTCTCTTCAGCTCAACCCATTCCATTTGCGGTTATTCCGAAAATTAAAAGAACACGCTCAACTTCTGTCCCTCTATCTATCTATTTTTAAAAAAAGAAAAAAACTCGAAAACCCTATAGTAAACATTTAATATTTCCTCAACTTTTATTTACTTTCAAAATAAACATATTTTATTTATTTTTGATTTTACTTTCGTATAGGATTATTTCACGCGAGATGAGTAAATAACACACCTGCTTTAATCAACAATAATTGTAATTTGTAAATTAACATTTTTGAAATATTGCTAAATTATAGTGTGTGTCACTGTATAATTTCAATTCCATTAATAAATAATTACCAATTAAATTAAGTCATATATGATCAACAAATGAAGAGGATCTATTGCGGTTATAATGACGCAAAAAGTGATAATTTTAATATCACGTGATTTTTTAAAAAATAGGATTAAAAATAGAAAAAATTATAACAAGAACAATCGATGATACATACAGAAGAAAAAAAACTCTCGATTTCAGCAGATTTCTCTCGATTTAAGAGGACATTAATCTATTCGAAAATAACTATGATGGTATAGTTTTAGAAAATGTGTTACTACCAAACAAATTAAATTCTCAAATTAAAAGGAATAGAATTTTTCTTCTAAAATAAGAATATCCTTCTAAAAAGAAGAAACATAAGGATCTAGCTTTGATTTATTGCTCTCAATGAACAAAATCGTTTAAATTAAAAAAGAATCGAGACTTTACTGTTTGAAAAATCGTTTACGGCTCCAGTAATTAAGTAGAAGTCAACAAAAATGTTTGCCCTCCTATAATGTTAAATTACGATATATCACGCAGTCGCTACATGTGCCCCTTGTTAATTACAATGACAAGTAACACGCAGACTAAAACTTGAATAGCATGATACAAATAATTAGAAAAAAAAAAATTCTAAATGAATGTAAAACAGTGACTCACGAAATTAATGGACACATTAAGGAAAAAAAAAAATTTCCTCCTAATGCAAGTTTTCTCTTTTGTCGCAATGAAAAAATTTCAATAATTACTTTTTCCTTTTTAATATAACGATATGTATTTTAAAAAAATTCCTTTCAATCAAACAGGAATACATTATAGTATTTTGCAGAAAGAAAAAAAATCCACACACATTATCTTTTTAGGGAAAAAACCTAGTGACTTTTTACGCGCAAAATATTACACTATCTTAACTTCTTGATACCATGTAATTTCCGTTCACAGAACATTTTTTATATGCTATAAAATATCCGATAAAAATTTTAACAGCGAAAACATATTCCATTGAGTGAGAAACAACATATATAAGAAATGATATGTCTATTACCAAGTATTAATCAAATTTATCACTACCATAAAGAATAATAATAATAATAAAAAAAAAAAAAAGAAGAGTGTGGCGTGAATGTCTCAAGTGTACTTTTAGCGTAAGTTTGCAGAGCCATGTAACTAATGCTGCAATAAATCGTAAAAAGATCTTTAAACGAAGCTACTTATACACACTTCTGGAGTTTTGTCGGTGCGGTGTTAAAGATCGTTTCTCGCGCGTTCGCTAGCTCTCACCGCACACGTATATACCAGGGGATGCTGTCATACCACCCAGAGGTTTTCGCTTTAGAATGTGATCTATGTCGAGTGGGAAATTAATCTCGTGCGATAATTCAGAGGGGTGTTCCATAATACGACGACAATTCCAAAACTTAATCGATTGTTTCGCGTGCATCGAATTGATACGCCTGCGATTGGCAGGTTCGTTGTTCCCTCAAGTTAGTCCCGAGAGAGAGAGGGAGAGAGATTATCAAGTAAATCTTATCACACTTCGAGAAAACTTTCACAACTAGCGTAAATTATTGATGTAAAATATGAAATTTATAATTTAATCAAATTAATTGAAAATTAGAATAGAGGGGAAAATATTTCTCAATATTAGAAAATTCCTTTCATATTTTAGTTGCAAATTGTTCTATATTAAAAAATTAAGAATTTTTAATTGAACACGGGGAGAAATAGATGGTACGGGATACTATCTAGATAGTACCAGGTACCATATTTGATCTTACATATACAGACAGCAATCTAGATTCTATCAGTTACAATCCAGATTGTACGGAGTAACGTTTTGATTGTAGTGGGTAACATAACCATACATTTGTAACATCTTTGATAGTACCGAGTAGCATAATGATAGTACCGGATAACATCTACTTTTTACCATCTTAGGGCCAGTTTCATCAACTCACAGAAAATTAAAAGGCATTAAAATAAGCTGCAACGCTTATTATTTTAATCAAATTTTGCTTATTTTAATACCAAAATGGATTAAAATAAGTAAAATTGGATTAAAATAATAAGCGTTGCAGCTTATTTTAATGCCTTTTAATTTTCTGTGCTCCGGTTAAAAGTTAATCAGCGATTAAATCCCTAACCGACCAATCATGAGCGGTTAAATTGGCTTTAATCGCTGATTAACTTTTAACCATAGTTGGTGAAACCGGCCCTTAAGATCATAAATTCTTACCATCTATTTCTCTCCGTGAAGAAAAAAAATAGAACAGTACCCTAGTTATGCTAGAAATAACATGGCCTAGCTAACCTCTAAACGTTTTAAGCGTCACATATCATAGAAAATTAAAAGGCATTAAAATAAGCTGCAACGCTTATTATTTTAATCTAATTTTGCATATTTTAATCCATTTCGATATTAAAATAAGCAAAATTAGATTAAAAAAATAAGCGTTGCAGCTTATTTTAATGCCTTTTAATTTTCTGTGATATTGCTATAGCGCCAGGGAAATTTAACTAGGCAGCGCCAGTAAAGACTCGTAGAAAACTAGACACGGGACTAGAGAATGCAAAAATTGAGCTAAATAGAAATTCTGTTTAAAAAAATTTGTTGTTTTTTTTTAAATTTGGTTGAATATAAAGTCTACTTTTTAAACAGAAAATCGATAGTTTTTTATTCGACACAGCAAAAATGAGAATGTGGGGAACATCCCCGAACAGTGATGCGTCAAGTTTAATTCTGCATAACTTTAATTTTCAAACGATATATATGGGATTACAAATGGAAAAGCCAATTATTCGAAACAATCTGTTTGAACATTCATGAAGAGACCTTTTGATCCTGATGAAGACATGCGGGAGGCAACAGAAAAGGTACTCGGGGACCTCCTGAGGGCCGAAACCAAGGGACCTCCCATAGAGCGTCGAGAAATTCGTTAACGACATCCATAAAATATGTCGGACGTGTATTTGCGGTTCACAGTAGTTGAAGAGCGAATTTTGGCAACATCAAGACACGAGCCTGCGGGTAAATGGGCTCTTAATTTTGCATCGAAATACAGAAGGGTTATAGAAGCGCTTTCAGTATAGCGCTCGCTCTCTAGCCGTGGGGCATTATATAACCCCACATCGTAAACCTCGAGATGCGCACACGTTTTATTCATCGATAAGAATGAATTACGTTATATTCCGTCTTTAAAATGACATATGACACCATATTGTGATAATAAACGAAAACGTGTGTACTTTATAAATAGTTTTAGTGGATGCCCTATGCAGTAGTAAACACGAGAGTTGAGAGGACAATACAATCATTGACAAACGTGACTGCCCATAACCAGTCAGTATACTCTCTCTCTCTCTCTCTCTCTCTCGCTCACACCCTCTATTTCTCTCTCTAGGTCACCTGCAGAACCTGCATTGTCCCATAAATTTGCGTCGAACAATAGATCAATAATCAAAGCGATAATTCAGTCGTAAAGATGTTAACGGGTTGTCCTTCCAGGAATATTGGAGGGTAAATGATGATAAAAGAAATCGACAGAAAAAGGTTTTCAATGTATAGGATAAAAATTACCTGAAAAATTAGGAAAAGTGGAAAAATCCTAGCAAATCCTAGAAATATCAAGAGTATTCCAAGAAAACTTTGGGTTTTAAATTTTTGTTTCTGATACCAATAAATGATGGAATTTTAAAAATGTTAAGTAAAAATATTAATATTAAGTAATTAATATCTAACACGAACTTTATTTTATTTACTTTTTTTCTAAGTATATTTGACATTAAAGTATTTTCTATGTAAACAAAAGTATTCTTATACCCCACACCCCACCCCAAGAATAAAGGTACGTTGCCAAGTTGTATTAAGCTTATGTATGTATTGACTTGTCAGTCTTTGGTAACAAATGCACTTGGCAATGGTTTTATCTACTTATTTCTCCCAGTTGGCGGCGATGAATGGAAGCGGAAAATGCGGAATTCATGCGTACGATACGATAAGAAAATTGCGATAGAGCATACAGCTATTTTTCTCTATACTCTATTCCGTGTGCTTCAAATTCTCTATATATACAACAAACATGTAAATTGTCTGCATATATATATATATATATATACCAACACGAATATCAAAATCTGCTCGTGAATTAAACATTTTCCAGATATTTCCTATATATATTATAGAGATATACCGGACAGGTGAATATCAAATTGATTAATAATACACTTATCATACAGTTAAAAGAAATTTTTTCATCTTTTTCATTTCAATAATGTAAAGGTAGAAAAAAAAATCCATATCTCACTTCATTTTTTTCCAAATGACATATGTGTGAAGGTTTTACACTATGTCTTTAAAAAGGTGAACAAAAAATCGCTCTCCCGAAACACTTTGTGTGGAATCGTTTCGCTCTTAAAACAGTTTCAATGTAACATAGAACGTGTAGACTTTTATCGGAAGTGAAAGCATTGAAAGCGTTTCGTATTGATCAAACTAAAAATGCGTGTATCAAATGCAATTAATCATTTTGAAAAAGTATATATCAAAATCGTATAACTCTCTATTATAAACGAATTTCATGTTCGATTTTCTCTATATATATATGAGTAATGCCAAATTTTTGAGAAACGAAAAATTTTGTTTAATACCTAATTTTTTCGATATTTGGCTTACCTTAAAGATTTTTAGGCTCCCTCCTTTTTTAACTTACGCAAAAAACTAATTTTTAAAAACTCACTTTTACGATCCTCCATAAACGTCAAGTATATACTCGTCTGCACGTCATAGCAAATGTTATGTCTCCTTTTTGCACGTAAAACAGTAGGCAGCTTTTGTCGATGACTCATCCTTGAAAATATAGACGTCGGGACATTCATCTTATAGAAAATCTCTAGAAGAAAAAAAAACACACATATAAATGATATTTAAAACACTGAAGAATGCAATTTATCAAAATCAACTATATATATATATGTAAATGTATATGTACATACATATATAGAAAAACATGACTATTAAACAGACTGAATATTCCGGTTAAGAAAATACTGGAATGCAACTAATGTATTTTTAGATGGAAGACTTTGTATATATGCTTAAGCCTAAAAGCTCATTCGTCCAGTCTAAAAATATACAAGTTGGATTTTCATATATTCGTTCTGTAATTATCTTGAGAAATGAAACAAGTGTAAAGGGTCGGGCAAGAGTCTAATTTGTTTCTCTCACTTCCCAGCAACCGTATCTCTCGTGAATAAACATCATCTATTCCTCATGTCACAAATAACTATGAGAATCATGTAGAAAATTTTAAAAGTTTCAAATTTCAAAGGTCGTCATTACAAAATTACACGCCATTTTAACCTAACTGTATATGTATATATATACCTTTACAGATTTTAATTACTTGTGTCCAGAAAATATTTGAAAATAAAAATTATTCCAATTACCAACTCATTAAATCGTGAATGATAAATTATATTATACATAATTTTAAACTCAAGTTTGAACTTTAAATTTCATTAAATTTTTTTTTTCTCATTTTCCTCCATTAATGAGATTATTTCCATTCATTTTAGAGTTCCCCATGTATAATCAATTATGTGGCATTTATTCGCGACAAATCGGTAGAATAATTTATGTGTCTGAAAAACCGTTATAACAATAACAAATAATAATGAATACGTTTATATTTACCATAGGCAAATGTTTATTGATGCTTATACATACACAATCAAACGTCACGGTTTTAATATTTGATCTACGATTTATAATCGGTTTTAAATGTTGTTTGCGACGCATAAATCATTTCGGAGTATCAATTATATATTACCACAAATTATGCACAAGTAATTTTAATGTGTTACTGAACTAAAAAATGATAATAATAAAAATAATAATTGCAAAGTGCAAAAATGATTTTTGCATTTTACACGTGTGTTTTTACACTGAGAAATAAATAATTTTTGAATCAAACCCATCATTTAGTTATATAATATTTATTATTAAAAACTTATAAATTAAATAAAATGAAACTTATCTTTTGATTTTAAAATAAGTTCTTATAGTGTATATATGTCTAAGATTAGAAAAGAAAAGAAGAAGAGGATTTGAAAGAGACAAATAAAACAAAATCTAAGGTAAATCTGCGTTTTAAATAAATGCAACACACACGTACTGCAAGAATGGCGCGAAATTCAAATAACTTTTTCGCCTGTGCACATTGTTATGTATTATGTAAGCTTGTTTGGCGATGAATGGAAATGCGACTGGAAAAAGAAAATCCTTGCTGGCAGCAGCACGTGTGCTTTTTTTATTTACCGATTTTACAGACCATCGCTCGCACCTGCAGACTTCACAAACGTGAAAACACGTATATAAAACTTAAAAATACGAGAAACGCATGCGCGACGCCATAACAGCTCTCTCTCTCTCTCTCAGCAGCAGAGAGAAGAATCGTACATCGATAACTCGAACAACGAAACAACTATACTACGTTTGTGAAATGTCAACGACGACTACTACGACAAAAAGGAGGATGACGACGTTAAAGATAATGTGCAATCATGTGAAAAAAACGTACCGCTAAAAACAAAAATCTTTCAGTATTTTTATAAATTTAATATTAAAGAAAATATTGTGATTTTAACAAGAGAAATAAAAATTTAAAGAGCAGAGAATAATCTCTACGGAGAAGGAACATTATCCATAGTGGAGAAAGTGAGTCAGTTTTTTAAGGTTAGAAAAATTTTACGTATTATGTTAGACAAAATCAAAATGCTTTAATGTTTTAAACTTTTTCGTTAAATAAAAAAAGGAATAACGTGTTCGGATTTTATGCAATAATACTCATCAATTTAATTGCATGACATCAAATAATAGTATTGAATTTTTTTTTTCATTTCCTGGATATATTAGTACCCGGTTATTATTTTTTTTAATATGGTGATAAATACTAACAATTTGAATATTGAGAAAACTTTTAATGATAATTAAATATTGGTTTACATTTAATGAGTACAATTAATAGTTCACAAAACTATTATTTCATTGGTACTATCATATTTCTTATTATTATTTTAATTTACCAACGATTATTGCTGTTTGAAACTACGGTATTTGTTAAACAATAAAATATTCAATCTACCATTATATAAAACTATTTTTTATTAATTGAAATAATTTTTATGCACACAGCTAAAACATTCTCTAAAATAGATATATATATAATTTTCAGTTTTAAAAAAATATTTCACTACTTCAGAAAATGTTTTAGCTGAAACAGATAAATTTTGTTTAACGAGTGATAATTTTAAAAACGAAAAATATTATTATTAATTTGTCGAATATTAATATTATTCTTATTTTAGATTATAATCTATTTTTAAGAATAAATAAAAAAAAAGTAATCAAATTTGATAAAAAGAAGAGATATTATCTGATGATGTATGAACTCTCACAATATTTGCTCATTTATAAAAATTAGCATAATGTTAATTGCTCTTTATACAAGACAATTTTCTGTTAAGAGTACAATAGAAACATTATCTCGAACGTGTTTTCAGGGCAAATAGCGCACGGATTAATTTTTCTTATCAGGCCGAGAAGTTTTTCTCCCTCCTTTCGGCTATAATTTTGATGACACTATACATTATAACAGAGAAGGAGAAACAATCTTCACTTACTGAAACGACGCAGAAAGAGCTAAAAGCAAGCACACGTCCAGTATATTTACCCTGACCTCGGCCAGACGCGGTATAATTTAACTTTATTTCAATCAGTCGCGATCCAGTGATACGCTTGGTTCGTATTATTTTCTGTTGACAAATTTTACGCGTTTTTACAAAAAAAAAGAGAGGATTAAAAAAAATTGGTACGTAAAATTTAAAAACCATATACGTTCAAAAGTGACAAATTGAGTTTAGTAATTTGGTATAAGCAAAAATTTTAATCCAATATAATTAATAACAAGATATTCTGAAAATAAGAATAAATCCATTTTAAAATACTTCTATATACAATTTATTCTACACTGAAAAAAGGGTTTGGTATTGACAACCAAACTTTTGGTTGATATTTAAGCAACCAAAATTTTTTTGTTGAATCAACAAAATTTTAATTATCTCAATCAAAATTTGTTTGACACAACCAAAATTAGAAAAAAAGGATTTTTGTTGTCCTAACTAAAGTTTGATTGGGACAACCAAAATTTTGTTGATTCAACTAAAAAAATTTGGTTGCTTAAATACCAACCAAACGTTTGGTTGTCAATACCAAACCCTTTTTTCAGTGTAGAATCATAGTATATTTTATTTTTAAAAAACAAAAAGAAATATTTTAAAAGTATATTTTTGGCATCAAGAATATATTCTTTTTAAAATATATTCTCATTTTTAAGATTAGAATATACTGAATTAAAGAATAAATTGCTTTGAAATATTCTAACCCATTTTAGAAGTATTTTAATGCTATTTTTTAGATTTTGTGTTTTTTTAAAATTTAGATTATATTAACTGTAATTAAATTACATTAAATAAAATTATATTGAAATACACAAAAATAATAGCTAAGGATATATTCTCAATTTTAGAATATTTTAATTTCGAAGTACCAATGTGTTGGAAAAATCGGTGTGACTTTTTTTCGGTCTTTGATTTCGATTCTTATAATAATTGATATATTTATCCTAATTATTAATAATATGTAATTAAGAAATTACGTTTGTTCTCCTTATAATTCAGTTAATAACAATGAATAGTGATTAACACATTAGTAATTACAATACAGATATTGTTTTCCTATATTCGAATAAGAATTCAGAATTTTAAAGAGAGCAATAAATTTATTATCCAAAACAAACGAAACAGACGTAAAAAGTCGATTGTACTACACAAGAATAATGACTCATAAATGATATTTAAGTATATAAGAAATAATGGGACTACTCTGAGAATTCAGAAACTTTTATAAAAAAAAAATTGAGGGTTTTTTTTTCCTTTTTTTTGAGGGGTGGGAATGGAGAAGAGCCTTAAATCTACTCTATCGTTCATCGAGGGTCGTGAATCAAACACGTAATTAGATCCCGTCGTATAACGAGTCATGGAAATAATGTGTCCAATGATATTAACATAAAGCCTCCTCCAGTATATATACAACAATGAGACGGTATATCAATCCTATCTACACCGTTTTATACTTTCGGTTTCACGCGACAACGCGACACACACGCTATATACCTTATTCCAGGACTTCTTTTCAAAGTACCCGTGCACGAAACATGCTAATTACTTTTCATTTTCCTTTTTTCGTTCATTTATCAATTTGTTAAAAGAACAGAACCCACACTGTTCACAAAATACCGAAACTCCCCATTAAGACCACAGTATAATATTATTAGAAGAAATTTATTTTCTATACTGAGAAACAAAATTGCATTTTCTTTTACTATCGAATTAGTAAAATTTAACTATGTAATTCTTTAGGGAGTTCGTTAAATCGTATACTTATAAAGTATATATACAATTTAAAGAAACAACGCAGTTAATTAAACTGAATTTTTATGTATTGAATTGACAAATTAAAATAATAATTTTTAATTAATTAATTTTCATTGAATATGAAATTATAAATTTATAAAATCAATATTCTTTGACCTGACAAAATTATATACGTAACATATTTTTAATGAACGGAAATCAACTATCTTATATAAATTTTATTCTATAATTTACATAAAATTCTCCAAAGGATTAATTCAAATCAAAATTCGTATATCCGGTTTAATTATACAAAAGATTTGAGAGAAATTAAAGTTATCTATCATAAATATATTTTCATTGTACTCAAATAGAGATTGGTATTGTCTTATTATTTCACTTTAACATTTTACTACTTATCATATAAATAAGTATCATATTAATGGTAGTTAAAATTAATGGTATAGTTACAATATTAATGATAGTTTCAATTACTGTTAGTCATGTCATTTGATGCGTATTGTCATTTAAGTATAGACGTATATATAACCTTTTCTTAAAAGTAGATTTTTATTAACAAACACTTTCTCTCAAAAACAAGTTTCAAATTGCGTCACTGCGTTAATTATTTTATCTTTAATTTTCCAGAGCGTGAAGATTATTTTATATTATTTTATTTCAGTAGATTTTTTTTTAAAATCATAAATCATGTCTGTCTCTACCCTAATCTGATTTCGCTGCACCGCGCCCTCTCGTTAAGATCGAGTAGTATGACTGTATATTTCCTTGCGTTTTGAGGAGGACCCTTCCTTATTGTCTCGACTGCAATAATATAACGAACCCTCTTTGCTACTATATATAAAAAAAAATATCTTTATAAATTGAAACACGGATAATTCAATTGATCAAAATAACCCACAGCATCCTCGCCTCGCGGATAATGACCTTACCACCTGTTTGGTGGAGATATAACATCAAGACGCGATATAAAAAAGAAAACTCATCTTTATATATACATTCATTGCTCTAATTGAAGTGCGCCCTCGAGAAATACATTATTAATATAATTATGTACTTGTCGAGTTCTTTTTTAATTACATTGTTCTTAAAAATAAAAACTTCTTATTGGCTCAGATAATTTTTTATTTTATTAATATGACAATATATTTAGCCAATCATTTTAATAAAAATGTAATTTAACTTTATTCTTAAAAAAAAACCATTAAAAATTAATCAATCATTATTTTGAAAATAAACAATTAAAATCCATTTATTTTTAACTTCTTCTAATATGAATATTTTTTAAATAAAATTATATTTATATGAAAAATATTATTTTTTATATTACTGTTTTGATTATTTGATAAAAATGAAATTAATTATTATTAGATATGAATCGTATAATTTTTTTAATATAACGAGCTTTCCTTAATTCATATTGTATATAGTGAATCTAGAAAATTGACTTCTTTTTTGACTTTGGAATATCTTACGAGACTTGTACGTCATGAATAAAATTAATAAAGCATCCTTTGGATATGACACTTTGTGGCACTTGATTGCACACTTTATGATCTATTTAAATTTCATAAGGTTGCATAATGCGACACGTTCAATTTGGATTTCGCTTTATGAAAAAGTCAAGTAAAATCCATAAATTAATTTTTTTCATTCAAAAATTCTTTAAAGGAACTTTTTTTTTCTCCATATAAATATAATTAAATTGCATGATCGTTTTTCGTTTAAAAAGGTCACTATTCATTCTATAAATAAACAACTTGCGGAGGTCAGGTACGTTTACATAACAGTTACATATATATGTAATTTGTCACTTGTTTCACAACTATTTTGTTAAACAAAAATGAGTTTCCTTTTTACTCTTGAATACTTCATAATATAAACGGAAATAAAACATAATGAAAAACAGTTTTAAAATTGACTTCCCGTACAATGAGTTAATTAAATAATAAACTTATTAAACAATTAATTTATTAAACAATAAACTCATTAAATAATACATTAACTAAACAATAAATAAATTAAACAATAAAATGATTCAACGAATAAATTGATTAAAAAATATATTGTTTAAACAATAAATTGATTGTACAATAAATTTAATAATCATTTAATTAAACAATAGAATAATTAATTATTAGGTATAATCTAATAATTTTTATTTGAATCAAATATAAATTTTATTTCAACCAATTATTTTCGTATTTAAATAAATACAATTTAATTAAGTCAAATAATATTTAATTACTTCTTTATTCAAATAAAAATGTATTTATTTACCTTAATCAAAAATATATATTTATTTAGAGTTAATGTATTTTGAATGTGCAATTTCAACTGATTTTGATTGTCTCATTTGATCGTTTATTTGATTGTTATAAACAATAAAGATTGTGAAAATTGATTATCTTGAAAAGACACAGGCGCACTTAATTGCAAAACGTATATACTCTTAATTAATATCAGGGAAAATGCCAATCTGTAAATTACGAAGTTTCGAAATTAACTGCAAGAGCTTTCTGCTCCCTTTAGCAAAAGATAAACTCGAGTCTGTTACTACTCCTGCGAAGAAAGGAATGAATGCTATTCGATAACTTTCGCATAGCTGCGCTTTATTTCACAAACCACGCATTCCAAACTGATATAACTTCGTGTTTCATAAAGAATCATAAAATAAATAATATAATAAATCATAAAAAAGAAAGAAAAAAAAATATTGCCCCAATATTTCGATTAATGCAAGTGAAATATATTCAATAAAAATAAAATCCACTAAAAATTTTATTTAATTATGGAAAAATGTTTTTGAAACATAATATAAACAAAAAACAATTTTTTTAGGTTAAAGAAAAATTATCGGTGGGGAATTTTATTTTTCAGAAATGGATCATAAAAAATACATAAAAAAAAATTCTTCAATACCAAAAAATGTAATATAAAATATAAGTAAAAAATGAATAAAAATTTATTATTATTTACTATTTATCATCAACCAAATGATACTTTTATTAATAATTAATCTAATTTAAAGAAAATTTTTTTCTTTCCTTTTCAATATTCGATATATTATAAAAATAATTTTTTGTTTATTTAAGTAACGAAAGAATTATTTATACAAGTTTGCACGTATGGTTTTTGAAAAAGATCGCGTGCAAAGTTTATCTCGAGATAGCGAGCAATGTACCCCTTTTACAAAAGTTCTCAAGTTTTCCAATTACCAGCAACGTTTTAATTGATAAGCATTTTATAAACGGTACTGATAATAATGATCGATAAGAAAATTTTACAAAAAAAAAAAACTTGAAAAACTTGGACTCCTACAAAAATAATTTAAAAAGAAATTCATCTTGAATATTCTCATTATACCGATAAAAAAATATATTTTTTTATATGTAAATCAGAATAAAAATTTCAGAAATTATATTTACGAGATTTCGAAAATGACAGATAGAAAATATTGCTGGACAAATACAGAAAAATATTTTCAAATAAAAATTCCGTGAACTAAAGAAAAAACTGACATAGAAAATTCTGTTAGAATATTAGCTATTATTTTTTCTATAAATAAAATACAATTTCAAAAGGCTATTAAATAAAAAAGAAATATGTATAAAAAAAAAGTTTTTTTTTTAAAAATGTGAATAAAACATGTGAATTACAAAAATGTTGATTTAAATAATAATATATGCAAAATAAAAAATATTTATGAAAATACAGTGGCATTAAAACTCGTAAATAATAATTTCGCCCGGCTGAATGAGACATTTGAGTGGTAAATAATCGTAAGAGCTTGTACCGTTCTCGAAAAATAACACGAGTCTCTCCCTAGTTGCATCAAGTACACATACAGGGGGAGTTTAAAAAAGGAAAAAAAAAAATAACAAGCGCCCTTGAAAAAGCAATTTGTATTTAGTCAGTGAAATTCAACGATAAAACTAGCCAGGCGCAATCGCGGTATACTATTTTCATTTCTGTCACATTTTCACTGGCTTTAAGGACCATTCATACATATATATATATGAAAATACGATTTATATCCCTGATATATATTCAAAAGAGCCGTATATATCGATAATCTCTTCACAATATTTATCAGTAACAGTAGTGAATATTGTCAAGTATATATAGAGTAGTATAGGCATCATATTGTACACGTTAGATGCGTCCATTAGCAGTTCACGTAATTCATAAGCAAATATTTGTTGAACGAACGACAACGACGGTAAAAGCTAACAGACTCCGAGCATCGTTCTTTCTTTATTTCTTTTTCTTTCTTCTTCCTTTTTTTTTTTTTTTTGACAGAAGAAAAGAAACTCACTCTCGTGGAAGGTTGGAACGCTCGTTGAACCTAATATCGCTCAAGGAAAAAATAAAAGAAGGGATGGAACTTTTCCTATGAGAGAGGGCGAGAAAACGGGAACAAGGAATAAGAAAAGTGCAAAAAGAGAAAGAGAGAAGTACAAGTTGAAAGATGGTTGGAAAAAAATATATATATGAATCGAACGAATGTCCGTTTGACGGATGTCTTCAACTTCTTTAGTGTCTAGCTGGCTTCTAGCCCTTTTGATATCCACCCTAGACACATTTCGAGTTTCGACTCACGCACACATATTACATACATTCAACGTTATTGTTGTCCTGTGGAAAAGCCCGAGAGAAACTTCTTGCTTTTTTTACCCCCTTTGGCAAAAAAAGAAAAAAAAAAAAAAAAAGTTTACGACGTTTCACTTGAGGCTTCTCGGCACTTTTCTGTCGCGTCGGACTCTCAGCTTGATGCCTTTCTGACGTCGAGTGACGTTATAATTTCTCTCTCTCTTTTTTTCTGACATGGGGTGACTCGTATGAAGCATAACTCTTTTTATATGCGAATCATTTCAAAAAACATTTGAAATGTATGATATATTATACAGATTTCGCTAACCTATATATAGAAAGATATATCTAAATAGAAATTCCATGAATTCTTTCACAGGATTTTACCGTATTAAAAATTTTAGATCTTCTGTCCACCATACACATTTTTTGTATTGGATTGATTATTTTTATATTATTATTATTCAATGGAACTCACCTAATTCAAAGCTGATTTTTGGGAATCTCGTCAATTTCTCCTAATTGTGATACTCCTACGTGATGATAAAACTGCTTTTGATTTTGACTCGAATCCATTGTAGAACCATCCTCTGCTTTCTGATGATACTCTCCATGATATAAAATTCCAACATTGTCACGATTCCAAAATGTTCCCTTTTATTCCAAAATTTCTGCATACTTTTCACCTGCAAAAAAAAAAAATTGAATAAAAAATATTCAAAACAAACGATAAAAAAAATCTGAATTTTCTGTTCAATTAGATGAAAATAATATCTTTTGTCTGATCATATTTTCTTTTTAAATTTGCAACAACTAACATTTATATTCTTGCATTTGCATTGTTTTGAGAGATTATTTTCGACGGATCTGCTTAAGCGTAAATTCGCATAAACCATCAAAAATCCTCTATTCTTAAACAGAAGTAAAACGATGTCTCCTTTGTGTCGTTTATAAGCCCCTTCGTAAAACGAATTTACAGGTTCCCATTTGTGCGGTACAGCGACCCCATTTTCAGAAGGAAATCGTGCAAGATGCCCTCTCAAGCGTGTTTTACGAAGAGCGCGCCTCGGTCGCTTTGGGCGATATTATTTCACTGACCAACATATCTTCTCTCTCTCTCTTGGTGAAACAAGGGGGAAATATGTAACTAACAATTTCAAATTTGTAAGAAATGAGGACCAATTTAGGCACAATTTTCCTGAGTACACGAATATTAAATTTCACAACAAGTATGAATAATTTACTGACGCATAAAATTTGAATGCAAATGACTGGTCGGACGAGATGAGCTTATGTGAGCATTTTAGAAACGAAGTATGAAAACGGCGCCGAGCGACAGCCGGGAAATACAATAAGAGAGATTTCAAGGAGAGAATATGTGTACTTTCTCTCTTACTCTTTATTCTGCTTTCTCAGAGAGTGAAGTAGCAATAGTCGATGCCAAAGGCAAACGCGACTCAGAGGAGTTAAAGGGGCAGTCGAGCATGAAGAAGGGTGGCTTCTGGCTAGTTTGTCTCTTTTCTTCTTCTGTCAAATTCGTCTTTCTCTACATTTCCTTCAAGCAAAATCTTTCTCTCCTTCGCATATTTTTCCAACAAATTTTTAAGCTTCCAACATTCCACATTTTATGCCACACTGTTTCATTTTCTCCTTTCGAATATTCCTTCAGCAATTTGAATCGCTTTACATCAAGTCTGCGCCACACACTGTTTATTCAAAAATAGAATTCATATGTATGAACATTCACTAGGGATGCAACCGCTTGATAATTGTACCTTGAAAATAAAATTCCAAACGAATGCATTTAGTGCCAAAAAATTTACTACATCACAATTTCATGAATATAGAAGTGATATGATATTAATAAAGTGGTTATTATAATTTTAATGAGCAATTAGTGAAACTCGCACATAATGGAGAATGTGAATAATGTGTATACGTATAACACATTTCTAATTAGTATCTTCAACGCTTGTGTTTATGAGTTGTTTTATTTTCTGTATATACATATATACGAATGACTGCCCCTTCACTCGACACGATAACGTGATTTTGTGATTCGCGTAACCCCTCGGATTTACGATCTATCCACCAAGCAGCTCTTTTGAGAGACGTCAAGAGCAAACATGTGACGCATGCAGGGTGAACATCACCAATCGCGTCAGACAAGTAGATTGTGGATGTCACCAATTCCCCTGGTCAATGATCCGTTTAAGACCACTTTAATGTTTGTTTGATGCTCACAAAGGAAACTGAAGTAGCTCCAAGAAAAATCTCGCCTTTCCCATTTCTTCCTTCTCCTAATAATGTCCACGAGTGGCAACATGTCATCTCTCGTTGACCCCATCGCTTTTTGATCTACGAACTTCCATTTCTCAGATATTATCTCTTTTTCCATCCTATATTAAATCTCAATTCCATTTCAATTTATTTTTATTTTCTTCTTTTTTTTTTCTTGCACAAAACACCATTTTCCGTAGATAATATCAATACACAACAGCACCGAAAAGAATGACTCACAAATGAGATTGTAGATAGAAATTTATTTACTTTGATTTTCAATTTAGGTTGTGAAGCTTTTATTTTATATAGTTACTCTTGTGAAACATCTAATACTGCGACATTATTTTTACCCAAAAAAAGAAACACATTTTTCAAAACTATATGAAATTGGTATATAGCACTTGTTTCTTGAATAAGATTTGAAGAAAAATGTGGGATGAGAGGTGAAGAAAGAAGCAAATTGTGGATTGTATCTCCGTATGTCTTGTAGACTATGAGTCATTTTCCTTTATAACTTACGATCTCCGGCGGAAGCCGTTATTCAAAGACACTAAAAACTATTCGAACGCGAAGAATCGTGTGTCTATGCATGTATATATATGTATAGTGGCGTGAAGAGGGTGGCTTTAGTCGTCACCCTGGTGCATTTGATATTCGTTTCTGTCGCCAACGTTACGACACCACGGACCGCTGGATTATGGAAATCGAGAGAAAGCTCCCTTTGTTTTTCCCAAGTGTCTATGACTCGATTCTTTCATTTCCTACCCTCCAATTTTTTTTTTATCCCAACGCATTCTTCGTCTGATAAAAGTCAAGAGATGTATGTGTCCAACGAACCCTTACATTTCGGTCCAGAATGTCGAATTCGTTGTACTCACAAGAATTTCCTCAACGCCTATACTATATATATTTCCAGAACGTGTTGAGATCAACTAGGTTCTCTCAATGTCTCCATCACGACTTCTTTTACTCAAGGGAGTGCCCCTCGACTTTCTCTCTTACGACGATGTAAACATCCAAACTGACGGCAGATCCTATCAGCCGTTGTTTCTTTCGGAAAAATCCTACCTTGAGACATTGAGCAAAGATGAAACGAGATGTTACATTTGTCAGTGCGGAGAATTTTCTATTTCTATCCTGGATTTTAGATTCAATTTTCTCGAATATTGTTTTCTAGTATTTACCAAATATATACACACATATGTCAAGAAAAAAAAAAATAATCATATTATTTTCGTATTTGATTATATTTCCGTAATATTTTTTTCGTTTCTAAACGTTGCAAACTTTAAGCTTCATTTAGACACGCACAAAAGTATTTATAAACCCGAAGCTGCAGATTATATATGAATTTAAAAATTCAACATATACTCTCGCTATATTGTGTTTGGAGATTAAAAACCATATTCTAGTCCTGCCGTAAAATTTTACTCCGTGAAATTGATTTCATTCTATCATCAATTTTTCATAAAAAAAAAAAAAAAAAAAAAATGACGAAACAGAACAAAACGGATGAAAAAAAAAATGGCACAAATATGAAATTTAATTATCGGCTGTTAATTAAATTCAACAGACAGAAGAATACAATTTCAGTGGAATTTAAAGTTGAATACATTTGAGGGTAGCAAAAAAAAACCTCTCAAGACAAAAAAAAAAGCCAACAGAGGTAAAATGACATTAGGAAATAATGAATACAGGTCGAGACAATTCAAAGTCTTTTCACTGGCGGAGCAAGGACTCTCGCGATCATTACAATAATCTCATTCGGATACTCTTGCGTTTCCGAGTGCAGCTTTCTCTATTTTTGTTTCGATTTTTCGTTTAACGCGACCAAGTCTGCCGCTCATCGAATTGCAAAGCGGCTCGCCAGGTACGATGTCGGGAAGTAAAGCAGACGCAAAGCCCCCCAAAGCATTCGTTGCAGCTTGGTTTGAATAACAAATTCCTTTGTAGACAAAGAGACTGACGAGGATGGAAAATAATTGCGAATGAAGATGACTATATGGCGCAAAAGGGAAAAACGATTAGAAGAAGAGAGAGAGAGGAGGGAGATTTGGAGTTTAAAGTTTGCGGTCTCTATAATAACTTTGTACGATTGTCGACCCCTACTGCATTATCTATACCAATTCTATACCTAGATAACCGAGCATCATTAATGGTTAGACACAAGTGAACCAATTTGCTAGTGGACAATTGCCAACGCAATTGGCGGTTCGTAAATTTTCAGTGCTTACACACTCAACTTCTGGGTCATTATGCTGCAACTTCTCCATCTTATGCTCATTAAACTCTTTGACGACCACGTTATCTGTCCGGGAGATAAAATCATGAAAACATCATTAGTTTCATAGCATGTGACTTCACTATTCATCCAATTATAATTGACACCGTTTTTTTTTATGAAAATAAATCAATATTTTTTGTTTACAACAAATTATTAGGAAAATAGAAGTGAAAATATATATGTTAACAAATGTTAAATGTTACCTCCATATCCAAATCGAAATCTCGACAATATTATTCTGTTTTCATTTATCGCTTCTATAGAATCACACACACAAGTACATTTCCCACCTACTCTATACAGCTCGCATTACATTTTAGACACGTTATTCGAAAGATGAGCCTCTTAAAAGTGCTTGGAACGCGGGAAAGTGGGTGTTAAATAAGTAAGCGGTACATTTATCCGTAAGTCGGTTTGAAATTTTGATGAAGCGAAGACGAGATATAAGTGGGGAGAGGGGGCGGGGGGGGGGGCGATTAAACGATTAGTATTCTTAACATCTCTAACATTTTTTCGTCCCCCACTCTTTTCTTTTTTATATTTCAAATAAGTCGAAGTCAATTAATAAAGAAGACTTTTTTTTCCTCTTTATTCGAGAGGGGAATTGAACGATGTATGGAATGTTCATTAATATTCTTTCAGCAGTAAATTATCGACGATCATAAAAATGCATTTCACGCCTTTGATAGACGTGTCAGCATCTGCTTCGTTGCATTTTATCCCTCAAGAGTTTTTTTTATACTCAATTCCATCATAAAACGATAAATTACATTAGGTTTAAAAAGAATGATAAGTGACACTTTCTTCCGATCTTAGATTTGCGTATTAAGAAATGGACATAAGAAGAAAAATATAAAACAAAATTTGAAATTACAAAGAAAATCAAAGGAAATAGAAAAAATTTTTTCCTTTATAAGTTTATTTCTTTTTTTTTTAAAAAAAAAGCAATAAAAATTGAATGTATAAACAAATACAAGAGTTGAAGGGTCATATCAAAGTAGGAAAATTAACTCTCCATTCCATGTCGGTTGCTTTCTTTTATCTTTCCTCGGAAGCTAATTGAAACGGGCAACCAACTCGATGCTCACTTATGTAAAATATTAAGATTGAAACCTTCAAAGGTACTTAAAATGAAAAAAAAAAAAGAGAGAGAGATATATATCCCCCTAGTAAATAGAGAGAGCGGAAAACCCTAAGGGATTAACAATTTCTGATCTCATTTCCATCACATAAAGAAAAGGGGGCGTGACAAATAATCATTTTCCCTTCTGGCTCATAGAATGACTTTAAGATTCAAATTTTCAGTCTCCAGTGTATAAGAACTTATTCACTTGCTAATTAAACGAAAGCTTATTTTTAACGGCATGAGAATCGCAAGTCGTTTAAGTACTTAAAGGACTTATTTTCAAAGAATAAACGGAACTATATCATTTATTATTACAATTACCGCACAGTATGTAACAATTAACAATTAATATTATTATTGATATATCATTCCTTGAAACTATATAAAATTTATCCTATATCAAATCTCTGCTGATAAAATTGAAATAATTATTAGAGCGTAAATTTGAACAACTTAACCAATCAATATTAGAGAGCCCAGTTTTCTTACGTGAACTTAATTACTGGTTTAGGTTGGAATTGAACGTAGTGTAATCTATTTAGATGCACCAGGCGTAAACACCAGGCTTGGTGCTATATTGCATTACAAAATGTTATAATCCGAAAACAGCAGGCACTCGCTTAACTGCATTAGCCGTAGCTTGGATAATACTCTCTGTCATTTATTTTATAAGTTGCTTTAATTGTTGTAGACAAGTGTTGCGAGAGCTTGCCGACTTTGTTTTGTATACTGCACACAATTCACGATTCGTAATCAGAATACTAATTAATTCGTGCACAAGGAAGATGATAATGAAATCGGTTTTTTCATTTAACTATCACTTTATATTAGATTTGATTCAGGCGCTAATCTATTTGCAACGAACTTATAATTGAAAATCGATTAACAACATGCGATGTTGTGTAAATTATTCGAGAAAAAAAAAAATTGCTGAGAATTTACAAGTACACTACATGCATATGTGAAATATACACAAATCCTGACGTGGAAGATAAATAATTGATGAAATAAAAGTTAACAGAAAAGGAAGCTTTCAAAATATTTTATTCTTCCCGTAAAACAAGTGACTGTGATTCATCCAAGAATTACATTTTACGACAGTTAGCAAGAGAATATTACCAAGGCGATTATTGTAAAGTACATTAATTTTCTGTATAAAGCCACAGAGTATCACTTTTTACGACACTCTTTGCCATAAAAGTTCTTGAAGCGTATGTTTATCTAATTTACTGTCCAGAAACAAGTTTAAAAAAACGAATGTTAAATTCTGTCTCGAAACAAAAAAAAAATATTTCCCAAATGAAAAATGTTCTCATATAAAAAAAACATCAATAATGCTTTCATTTTTAAAGAAACCATTTCTATGATTTCTATATATGTATATTTGATTTATTCTCGATACAGTAAATGAGATTTTTTTTCCTCTCACAACCCTAAAGACTTTTTTCTCCATTCTAATCGATCAATCATGTTTTTTTTCAGAAATCAATCAGGCTACGCAGCAATGCTGAAGCCTATATTGTTTATAACGGCCACCGTTTTCGGGCTTGGATATGCTTTGAATGGTGAACTTGTGGAACAAGAATGCCCGGTTGACTGTCACTGTCACTATTTTCGCATCAACTGGGTGACAGATTGCTCAGAGAGCAACCTTACCAGCATCCCCTATGACGAGCTCAGTTCAAATGTTTATATCTTAGACATGAATGGTAATAACATCGCTCATGTGGATCCATTTCCCCAAGACATCAAACTACGAAGACTACAAATGGCTCACAATCTTCTCACGCAACTCACATATGATTCTTTTGCCGGATTGGCCTATCTTTTGGATGCGGACTTTTCTTACAATCAAATAAAAACAATAGACCCAGAAGCTTTCAGGTACTTTCTTATTTATTCTTAAAAATTTTTTTTTATTTTACAATAATTAAAAAATGAAGAACTGACGACAATTGAATTTCCAGAAAGAACAACAAAATTATCAAACTCATTAAATCAAATTAAAATGCTGATACACGATGACGAATCAAATTATTGTTTATACCTCACATGCAACAATTTACAAAAATACCATTTACAATAAAAACTCGAGTTGAAAAATAAAATGTTTTTCTTTTTCATTCACAGAGACAGCCCGGGACTAATCACATTGGAACTTCAACACAATCCTCTAGCGGAAGTGAAGGGACACTTTTTAAATTGTCGAACACTATTGTACCTGGACCTTAACACTTGTGGAATTCATCGATTGAACGATAGATTTTTCCACAATACCACGAACCTGAACAAACTTGATCTTTCAAATAATCCACTCAATAGAATTGAGCCTGGACCCTTTGATCATCTGACAAATCTCGAATATTTAAAATTGAATGCCTGCAATTTGACTTTTATCTCGCCAGATGCGTTTTTACAATTGGAAAATCTACGTGAACTCGAAATGTCTGACAATGATCTCAAAAGTCTCAGTTGGACAAGTGTTTTGGCACCGCTTGTACGTTTAGAGCATTTGGATATTCGTAACACTGGAATAACAAATCTACCAGGTGATGCCTTCGCCAAGAATTTATATCTAAGAAATCTTGTATTAGCTGACAATGAATTGACACATTTGGATGTTAGCAATACACTGGGTCATAATCTTCACAGTCTTCAATCATTGGATCTCTCCAATTGTCATTTACAAGATCAATTGGCTGATGAAGCATTTCGAAATGCAAGCAAATTGCGCGTTTTGAATCTCAATGGAAATCCAGCTTTTGCTGGTAATTTAACGGAAGTACTACGTAATTTACCAACATTGCATAAACTTTCACTGAGCAATTGTAATCTACAACAATTACCAAATGCTTTCGATGTTCTTAAACATTTGGAGGAACTTGACGTCTCACACAATCCACTGTCCGACGCTTTTGTCCGACTTAATCCCCTCAAGTCACTCGAGTTTCTGGACATGTCCTATTGTAATCTCGGATTGCTTGGTAACAAAACATTTGCCCAGACGACTTCTCTTAAAACTTTGATACTCTCGGGAAATCGCCTACACACTTTGGAACAAGGTCTTTTCGCAAATCTCACACGATTACAATCATTGGAATTGAAGAATTGTGATTTACAATATCCAGTGGATCCTATGGTATTTGGCGATCGTGATTATATGAACATCATTGAATTAAAACTTGGCGGCAATCGAATTGTAATACCCAAAAATGGTCCACTATTACCAAAACAACTTTCCGGCCTCGAAATTCTCGACTTAAGCAATTGTAAATTGGAAAATCTTCACAAAAACGTTTTCCTACAAACAAAAAATCTGACACAATTGAATTTGTCCGGTAACAATATCAAGGGTCCGGACAATCTTGCCGGTCTCAAGGAATTGACACTTCTCAAACATTTGGATTTAAGTAGCAATAATCTCACAACTATCCATTCAAAAGTATTTAAATCAAATCCTGAATTATTGACAATTAATCTAATGAACAATCCATTTGTTTGCAATTGCTCGATTGTCGACATGTGGGATTGGGCAATTGACACAAAGAACGATCGCAATATTCTCGTTGGTAGTCAACCATCATATTTTGCTGCCAACGCAGCCAAATTACGTAAGAGTCTGTCATGTTCCTACGATCCTGAAACTTATCGTACCATAATGGAACAAAATCGCAGTGCAACAGATCGAAAACAATTTTTACGTAAAGGTGATCAAACGCCAAACAGAACATGGGCAAAGTACATTCGCGAATCAAATTGCAGCCGAAAATCATGATATACGGGGGCCGGATTTCAAAATTCAATGACTAATGCCTACCAGGAGTCGGTTGATAGGCGTAAAATAGAACTCTAGATGTGCTCATTATTTTTATTTTTTTGTAGTTTTCAGCTATGAACCAGCTGTGAGTACAATTCGTATTAGAATTCAATATTTTTGAGAGGAAGCTGGACAACAAAATTATTTTTTATCAAAAAATTAGTTAAATATAAATAAAAAATTCTAAAGTGTGCAAATTTGGTTTAATGTTGATTCTGCTTAATTATTTGGCTCAAATTAATATTTTTTTTTTGTTTCAAAAAAAAATAAAATTAGTCAAAAAAAAAAAATTATATTTGAATAAAAAAAAATTTGTTCGTTCAGCGTAAAAATAATTGAGTTCTTCTTGAGATTATAAAGTTAGGAATTATTTTAAACGTCAATTTATATATTATATAATAGACTTAGATGAATGATCTAGTCCCGAAGTGATCGTATTACATGTAAATGCGTATAAGAAATCATCATTATGACAGCATTGCTGTATATATTTTAATTCAAGTCATTAAACTTTCAAAGCTCTCGATTAATCATAGTACTTTTAATAATAATTTCGTTTGTCCGTTGAAAATTCAGAAAAATTAATTTTCATGATTAATTACAAAAAAATAGATATATAATAAATCATGAAAATAAAAAAGAAAAGTCTTAAATACTCAATTATTTTTTATATTCGCGGGAACATAGCTGAACATGGAAAACAGAAAATATATTGTCATTGTAGAGTTAAAAAATAATTTTTCATTCATTGAATTTTGAAATCTAGCCGAGAAAATGGGAAACGTTAAAACGATTATTTACAATATTTTTTTTTTATGTTTCTTTTATCAATGAAGTTTATAACGAATTTCAAGTTATATTTCCGTTATTGTCACAGTATTACCGATGAATTAGATTACGTCACTGCACGCGGAAACTAAAGTAATTACGCGTTACATTCTAGAAACACACGAAGTTGCGATTTACGAATATACGTGCAGGTTTACAATCAGATGGCAATTACAGCTTTTTGCATTCGCTTTTCCTGGAATGGACTCTATATATTCAAAGTTTCATTTAGTTCTTTGATTTCTTGTTATTCCTAAATGTTTTTCAATACTCAAACAATGTTGATATGAAAAATCTTGATATGAGAAACAGCTTTGATAACTATTTATTTATATTTTACGATTTTTAAATAATAATTTTTGTCTCTTTTTTTTAGATTCAATACTCATTTTTATCTGTATCTGTTTTAGGCAAAAACTTAATCTTTCATATAATATTCCTTTAGAATTATTTTTCATAGAAAAGAAAAAAAAAATGGTTTTTTCGAAGATTATAGGTTTATCGTTTGTGAGATCAAAATAAGTTTTAGTTAAAATTGTATCTACGATATAGTTTGAAAGATAAAATAGATATATTGATATCGAAAATGGTAAATATATATTTCATTAGTACTCAACTGTAACAAGACTGTGTTAAATAAAAACGCCATTTTTCTTCGTATGTTTCGATTTTTTATCAGAAAATTTTTTGACCTTTTCTTTATGAAGTTCAAATCTGGATAGTTTAAAGCACAAAGAATTTTCTATATTGTTTTACTATACAGGAGTGACATTATCTATATTGTAAGCGTAAAACTTGAAATTATCACTAATCACTTGTTCTTTTTATTTTATTTTTATTTTTTTAATCATATATATTTGCTTTTTTTGTTTCTCTTTTTACTTAACTTTGTTAAGTGCCATTAAATCTACATTTGTTGAGGTGTGTTTACGGTATCAGGGAGAGAAAAAGGGTTAATGCGGTCTCCCTTAATTATGACTTATTCTCATGGCAGGTAGCAACAAAGGCTTTTCCCTAATTATAACGAGACAAATACATTAATATAATGCCTTAGAGATGAATTAGTGAAGATATTATTCTAAAACCAACAATAATATAAAAATTATCAGACAAGTTTAACAGAAATTTTTAACGCAAATTCGATATATTTTTGATATTTTTTATGAAAATCGCACCAAGAAACAAGGGAATTATGTCAATGCTAACAACATTACAGGTGAGTGACCCACAAATATGTATTACATTACATGTGCTTATATAGTAGAAGAAATAGTAAGAACTTTTAACAAATAAATATATATTTTTCATTAAACTACTTGAAAACTTTTAGAAGGATTATTATTAATTCCATTCTCACCTATATACTATGAATGTTCCCTATACGACCTCAACACACTTATTTTCTATATACTTGACATTTACGATCGTTATAGTTTAAAACATGAATTTTCCCGATACCAATTTCCTAAAATAAAACTTCCATTTTATGTATACCTATAAAATTTAATTGTTTAATGGGTGCTTCGTTCTTTAATAGACTTCAAAGGCGTTATAAATTTTGTTCAAATCGAATTTTACTTTGTAAAAAATATATATCGTTCTCGAAATTCTATTTCAAATTATGTGACATAGAGCTGAGAAAAATGTTCGCTTTAAAACAAGACGGAAACATTATTTTCAATTATTGAAATTCGACTGAAAATTCAATAGTTGGAACTGAAAAATTTATCTTGTAATTTTCAAATTTTATTCATCAATTGATAACTTATTGATTATTATAGTAATTCCTTTGACTATAACTAATACCACTGAATGTTACGATAATTGATATAATTACTACCAAATGTAACTACCACTGATTGTAACGATCATTAACTGTAACTACCATTGAATTTAATTATTACTGACTATCACTAATTCTTTAAAAGTAAATAACAGAGTTAATTCAAAAGAAGACTCGATTACCTTGAGAACTTTCTTAAAAAGGATTCAGCGTAAAATTATTCTTTGGAACTTTTTTTTCATACGCTAATTTAAAGCATTGACATCACTGCTTTTTTTTAGAAAATTTACTGCAAAATAGATATTGTTAAAAATTAAATTAAAAATTAGTTAGTTAATTAACCTTAGTAAATTAGACTAAATATTTTTTTAATGTAAATTTTTTCAAATCATAAAAAAAAATTAGCAACTCAAACAAAAAGGGACAATTTCTTTTATTCGCCATCAAACAAAAAGATTAAATTTTTTCCGTTCAATAATTATATATATATTGAATAATATTAAAAAAAAAAAGAAGAGAAAAAAATAGTAAAAATTTCGTGTTATTCTTCTAATCTATCGGTAATTTAAAGATAAAATATCCGTAATTTGTTATTTAAAATTCCGCAGTTTGTAAGTTGAAAATAGGCACTTGTGTAGGTATGAATCAAGATTTGTTACGTAAAAGTCACGTGACACGTGAGTCTTATTGGCCAGCGCTCGTAGACCGGCTTTCGCGTTCGAACCTCGTTTCTCTCGACAACGAGCTTCCAAGTTAAAACAACTTATACCGCATTCACGCCGCAGTGTGTGTATATTGTGCCTGTAGGTATATATATATAAAAAATAGTACTCAAAATCGTGTGACAAAATGTTACAACTGGTCGAGAGCGCCCTCAACAATCCAAAATTTTACTACGGTGGTTTGTTTGGAATTGGTTTTTGCATTTACTACCTCTGGGAAGTTGTAAAAGTGAGTAAAGCATTACATTGCGCACTTGAATCGATAAGTCCGTTCCCTTCCACGATAAAGTTACACTTTTTCCCTACGTTCAATATTCATGAAATGCCATTAGAAAAAAAAACGCGAAATTTAAATAATTATTATCTTCATTTTAAAAACATTTTGTAACATGGGGTTAATTTTGCTAATGCTTTCATAGTATAGATAAAAATGTATCTACATATACATATATATGTACTTATATATCTATATATGTAAATATAAAAATGCATTTTATTAATTATGCACTTATTTATAGAGGACGCATGTAATTTATATTTTTAATTTTAATTTGCTTCATGATATTGTAATCATAATTAAATATTTTTATATATTTTAATTAATTTATAGTCAGATCTTACTAAATTAAATTCACTAGTAATTTAATTTCATTCTAAATTAATTTAATGAATTTTTTAAAAAATGTTAAACTTAACTTTAATTTTTAATTTTAATCAACTTTTAAATTCAATCGTACATTGAATCGTAATTTGAATTTATTAAATCATGATTTAAATGCAATTGTACTTTGAATTCAGTTTCAATTAATTTAAATTCAGTTTACATTTAATTCAACAATTTTAATTAATAATCTTATGCAGTTTTAATTTAATTTAACTTTAATTATAATTTAAATTCAGTTTTAATTTAATTAAGCCTTCTTTAATATATCTAATTTAATTAAGTTGAAAAGCAATTTAATTAATTCAAACTTCAGTATTAAAATTGTCATGTAAAATTTTTAAAAATGACATCACACAAAAATAGTGGATTATATATATATATTTTATATATTCGAACAAAATATAAAAAAACCTTTGAGGATATGTTCAAAAAATTTTTTAGTTTTTCCTAATGATATAAAGATGAAACTGATAAGATATATATAATTACTGCACGCTGTCTGACTTTCATGATAAAGCAGACTACAATTATCACGAATATGTATAGGTATATATATACATACATATACATATGAAAAATGATTGTACTTTGAACATTAATGCATTTTGCCATGTGCATGTCAACATAAGTTTGTCATTAATTATCTCATGATTAAAACAACTCAATTGTTGTAAAAAAATTTCAAAAACACTTAATCTTTTTAAAATAACTTTAAAAAATATAAAGTACAATATTTTTAATATATAATTAAAAGGTATGCGATACATACAATAATAAATGTTTAAATAAAAATAGTAAATTACTCACATTAACTGGTGAAATCATTTTCAGGTGGGAGGGTGGTGGAGTTTATTATTGAATCTTAAACATATTTTAATTGGCACATCTAAACCAGTTGCAAATGATTAACGTTGAATCATCCGTAGAAAAAAAATCTGAAACAAACAATTTTGTCTTTTCTATATTTTATAAAACTAAATCTTTAGTTGATTCCAGATAGGAACATTTTAAATTTTATTTTAACTCATCTTTCAAAATTATTAACAATTATTATTATTATTATTATATTATTATTAATTTAAATATATTCATGAATAAAAAGGAAGCAAAAGTACAGATATAACGCATTCTCTATGAATTGAAGTATATTGAGCATTGAGTAGGTTATCATTATTAATTTGACCTTAAAGTTCCTTACTCTCCACGCTTGAACTATATTAAACATATAGTTTTATGCACGCAAAGTTAATTCATTTTTTTCTCTCGATAAATTAGAGAATAAAATGTCTTTTATTTATTCAACAAAATTTTTTTTTATATTAATAAAATTCTTTTTTAATTATCTAATCTAATTATTATTCCTGCTTTACACACATTTAGATGTTTTATTTTAGACTCCCCTATTCGTTTGTGGGAATGGTCCATTTCGAGAATTTTTGGAAAAGCACATGCCCATCTTAGAGAGTAAATTTTGGCCAACACTATGGTGTTTTGAATCAAGGGCACAAACTGTTTTTGCCAGTATATTACGCTCAAGAATATTGCCACAGATTTCATATCGCAGGTAATTTATTGATTCAATTATTATAGTATATAACAACAAAAATGATTTATTTTTAATAAACTTAAATGAAAATTTATTGAGTTTTTAATTCTATTTTATAGGGAAATTCTGATACTTTCGGACGGTGGTGAAGTGGCATTGGATTGGGCCGAAGATAATTGTTGTAACACATCGCCAATTATAATTATTCTACCGGGACTAACTGGTGCCAGTCAAGCAGATTACATCAAATGCTTGGTATCAGCGGCAAAGAATGTTGGAATAAAATGTGTAATCTTTAACAACAGAGGTCTCGGAGGAGTACAACTAAAAGTAATCTTCCAAAAAAAAAAGTCTTATACACTTGATTTCACACACTAACACAAAAAGAAAACGAGTGGAGAAAAAAACGTCAAGAACGAATCTACAGGAAAAAGTTTCATCAGTTTCGTCAGTGTGTATATGAGACAAAACTACAACCGTGTGATGCTTTTTCTTTTTCAAGTTTTTTTCCTGTACAAATTCAACATTTACTCTTTTCTCTCATACTCGATTTCTTCGTGAAATGTTTTTTTTTTCTCTACACCAAAATTTTCATTAATTTTCGTCAAATTAATAAATAATAATAAATGTTTTGGAAAAATGTCATACAACTAGGGAAAAAATTTCTTTTAAACGAACAATAATGATAATTTTCCCGTTAATCTATATCACTGATTCAATGAACATTGGTATTTACATTAGAATCGATTTAGATTAAACATTCAATTACTCTTAATAATTTTGTTATTCATCATACACATAGGGAATAATTTAATTCAGATTCGAAGAATAGAGATTACCTTTTTTAATTAAATTAAAATTATTTATATTTTTATAGACACCAAGATTGTATTGTGCTGCAAATATTGAGGACTTTACGGAGGTTCTGGAGCATGTTAGAAAAACACGACCAAATGTGGCTATCGGTGCCACAGGAATTTCTTTAGGAGGGTATGTATATATTTTATTTCTACCACATATTAACGAAAATTGATCTTCTTCAACGAATTGCTATTTCACCAAGTTTGACCGAATTTTCACTTAACTATTGACTTTTTTTATTTTACCATGTCGTAGATTAAATTCACTCTGTTTTTAGTCGAATAAACTTTTCCTCAACCTATTCTGTTTATATATACCTATATACAATAATAGAATGTTTTTCTCGTTAGGTTAATTTTAGGTAATTATTTAGCACAAAAGGGTCCAGAGGCGGTTGGAAAATTAATGGCGAGTCTTGCAATTTCGGTACCGTGGAATGTTTTCGAAGCAACAAAAAGTATAGAGAAGCCATACTTAAATCTCATGTTAAACCGACATTTATGTGGGAATCTTTGTCGAAATGTGTCTCTTCATCAGTCGAAATTTTGCGAGACAAGCTTCGAGAATTTAGATGTTATTCTAAAGGTAAAACCTATTTCATTTTTTGCAATTATTCAAAATAATCATCATAAGCCAAAATAAAAATTCTAATCGCATCCCTAAAAAAAAATCATAATTCTAATTATTAAATCCTAAATTTTACTCAATAAATTTCAGAGTAAGACAGTTCGAGAATTTGATGAGAGTTTCACGTCAAAAGCATTTGGATTTAAAGACGTTGAGGCTTATTATGCCAAAGCAACTTTACACGATAAACTACACAATATTCAAATTCCTCTTCTTTGTTTGAGTGCGGCTGATGACCCTTTTCAACCTCTAGAAGGTAATTACTCATCCTAATTATAACATTCAACGAAAAATGAAATTTCAGACTAATCATTTTAAATGTAAATGAGTATATTAATTATTATTCAAGTTAAACTTCTTTTTATGAGACATTCTTTAAGAAAAATTGTTTTTGAGAAAAAAAAAACCTAACATTATTTCTACATTTCCTTCAAGGAAATTGTTTTTCTAGAAGAAAAAAAAAACTATAATAATACCCTTTTCATATACGATGAGAAATGTAAAAACTGAAATCATCATTTGTCTTTTTAGCAATTCCCTTGGAAGAAGTTAAAGATACAAAACATGTAGCTATGATTGTTACATCACGAGGAGGACATATTGGCTTTTTAGAAGGTGTTTGGCCTGTGCATAAAGAACGAGAACAATATATAGGAAAAGTTTTTTCACAATTCTTCACAGCTGTTTTCACACATGGCCTTGATGATCCAGCCTTTTACAGATAGCCAATAAATCAAGAGATTTTTTTCATGAAAAAACATTAAAGAAATTCTTTAGAAAACTAATGGATAATTATAAACTCGACGACACTATAAATTTAGTTGAAAAAAATTATATTGTCGCTGGACTCGACAATTTAAACGAATTTTATCAAATTCTATTTTTCGTATTAGAAAAATAGATTAATATTATAAGCGGCAAAAATTCTCAAATATAATAAGCTTACAATGATTTCTCTTACATCAATGATAAACGTAAAGAAATCTCTATATTGAAAAATTGTAGATAATTTTGATATCGCAATTGTTTTCGTTAAAATTTGTTAAATTTGTAAACAAAAAAAAAGTTTCAATAAGTTTTAAAAAAAAATTACGCTGCTAAATTTAAAAGCTACGAAAATTAAGAAACTAAATTCAGCATAAAAGCGCTAAACGCTGCCAAAAATTAGTTAATATTTTTTAATTACCTGAATTATATATTGTTATATATATATAATATTGCGGAATTAAAAAAAGTTGTTTTTCAGGACTGTGATAAAGAAGGTTTCAAATCAATCATTAATAACATTCTATAAAAGCACTGAGAAAAATATTTTGTTTTTACATTTCATTGTCAAAGCTAAATATGTTTCTCGGTATGAAGATTGAGAAAAAATTGGAAATTAAGTTTTAAAAATGTATTGAAAAAAATGTATTTCATTAAAAATAATTGGTTTCTTGACTATTATCAAATAAATATGATATTTAATTCAAAAGAAAATATTTGTTTGATAATAGTTAGGTTATGGATTATTATTTAAATCAAATAATTTTTTTTCAGTGCATATACTATATGTACGAAGAAAACTTGTTAAAAAAAATTAATTCGTTTAATTAAGTTTTATATTATTTTTATAAATACTTGTTGCACAGTTTTATCTTAAAAGTAGAAAAGTTAAATATAAGTATTTCTATATTTTAAAAATATCAGCAATAATCAAAATGTAGATTTTCTTATAAAAAAAAATTTCATTGTCTACAATATATAGTATCAGCTTTAAAACTTTTATAAAATTATAGTTAAAGAATGAAATATCTTGTACAAGAATTTTAATAAATTTGATATCACTAAAAATTATAATTTTTACTATATATGTAATTCAAATTCTCCGCTATTGAAATTTCTAATAAAAATAATTTCTAGAAAACTACATTACCCATAGCCGGCAGTTTACCTAAGCGTCATTTATTATATCGACAAGCAGAACGCGTGTTCATCCGTCACCACGACATCATTGGGACAATATTTATTAGGTTATGTTTTCACCACGTCAACAGTCAACGTCAATCATCAACAAAAAATTTTTCAAGTGTTACCGCAAAGATATTACATATATATAGTTAACCGGGATTCTTGATATTAGACAATAATAAAAGACTCTAACAATTGTACAAATAAGAATAATTTCAACCAAAGAGATTATTGGATTTTTGATAAAAAAAAAAATTAATTTATATAAAATAATGGGACGAATATTATTATTACATCCCGATTTGGGTGTTGGAGGAGCCGAGAGGTTAGTGGTTGATGCTGCACTTGCATTAAAAAGTGGAGGACATGAAGTAAAATTCGTGACAACTCATCATGATACCAATCATTGTTTTATGGAAACAAAAGATGGTACCATACCGGTAACAGTTTATGGTGATTGGTTGCCGAGACACATTTATGGGCGCTTTTTTGCACTTTGTGCTTACATTCGAATGGTATGCAACTAATATTAATAATTAAATCATAAAATACTGAAATCTATAACGCTTGTTTATCGAGATATTTGAATTAAAAACAAATTACATAATACAAAATTTTTTTCTGATTCTTATTTTTTTAATGAAAAAAATATTTATTTAAAAATATAATAGATTTTTATCATAATATGAAGTTATTTTTAAATTTATAAATCTTTTTTAGTAAAAATATGAATGAAAATGTTGAAATTAAATAAAAGTTGCAATTATTATTTTTACATTATGTATCAAATTTATTTAATCGAATTCAATAAGAATCAAAATTCGTTTGAATATAAACTCGAATTTAAAAATTTTATTAATTTAGATTTATATCGGATTAGATTCAAAAAATTTTTTTTTATTTCAATCAGAAGAGCTAATAGAATTTTTTTTTATATTTTCAGATCTACGCTGCCTTTTGCATATTACTTTTCGAAAACATTCCCGATATTGTGTTTTGTGATTTAGTATCAATTTGCATTCCAATTCTAAAATTGCGATGTCCACGCGTTTTATTTTACGTACATTTTCCCGATCAACTTTTATCTAGCAAAGGTGGCCTATTAAAAACAATATATCGTGCACCTCTTAATTATTTAGAAGAATATACAACGGGAAAAGCAAACAAGATACTAGTCAACAGTCAATTCACTCAGGGAGTATTTGAAAAAACCTTCAAGAAATTGAAAATTGAGACTGAAATTTTATATCCAACAGTGCACACGGAATTTTTTGATAAAACAAAAATTTTACCACTCGAACGTGTAATTGATAGAAAATTACCAAAAAATAGTTTCATTCTATTGTCAATTAATCGTTATGAGCGAAAGAAAGATTTACATCTTTGCATTGAGGCAATGTCAATTCTTCAAACACTTTTGAGAAAAGATTTTGAGAATATATATTTAATAATGGCAGGCGGTTATGATAAACGTGTCGAAGAAAATGTTGAACATTATTTAGAATTAATAGGTCTCGCTGATGAATTGCACGTTAGTGATCATATTATTTTTCTTCGCTCGCCATCTGATCAAGAAAAAGTTTCACTTCTTCATCATGCGGATGTTGTTGTTTATACACCGCGCAATGAACATTTTGGCATTGTACCACTTGAGGCTATGTATGCGGGGAAAGCAGTCATTGCACAAAATTCCGGTGGACCTAAAGAATCTATAAAAAATGGACAAACAGGTTTTTTAGTAGATTCAGATAGTTCTGACTTTGCGGGAAAAATGAGAATTTTTGTCTGTGATGCGACGATGAGAACTCAATTTGGCAAAGATGGAAAACAACGATTTATGGATTTATTCAGTTTTAATGCATTTGAAGAGAAATTAAATGCAATTGTGAAAAGATTATTGGAAAATCGTGAAAATCAAAAAACAGAGTAAGTTACAAGAACTCACTTTTAATGAGACTTGACTGTAATTTATTTTAGGATAATTTCCTAAAAGAGAATATGAACTGAATTTTAATTAAAATAATTATATCAATTTAATGATATTTACATTAGATCGAGTTATTTTTAAAACATAAAAATTAAAAAATTAATCAAAGAAAATTGCTATTATTATTTAATAATTTAATAATATTAATTATTTTTATTCAAATTATAATATATTAATGTTGCTCGAAGAAAATAAAAATGTTATATATTTGTACGAAAACGTAAATAAAATTTTGAAATACATTTCTAAAATGCAAAAATATTTTGTCGAAACCAAAAAAAATTAGCAAACTTAAGAGGAACCAAATTAAAGATAATTGTGTAATTTAATTCCTGAGTCACAAAAGTAATATTACTAAAGAAGAATGAGTTAAAACTGACCTTGTAAATTGAGAGCTGTACACCGTGTAATTGTATCTGCGTGGCTTGGTAATGATGATAATTTGAAAATCGTTTTTCGACGAATCCCAAATGGTACCTACAATTTTCAAGTACAAAATCAGTTAATACAGTACAAAAATTTGTTTTTAAATTTCATTAAATAAAAAGTAAAAGAATTGCATGAAGACAAAAAAAAAATTATTAAAAACATTTTTTATTTAATTAGAAATTTCTAATTCAATAAAAATTTTAAATCATGAAGTCGAATCATAAAATAAAAGAGTTACGCATGCGTTAAAAAAGAGAGTGAGGGCTTAAGTCATGTAACGTACATATAAATACGAAAATAGAATCTTAAAAAGTCAAGAAGTCCAAAAAGTAGACTGACATAAGTTTCCAAGATTCTTTCTGCAACGTAGTGATTGCTATATACTTTAAAAAAAAAAAAACAAGTATCAAAAAACATTTTTTATGACATTTTAAAAATTTTAATTGAATAATTGTACACATAAATTAATTTTAACAAATTAAAATTATGGTTCGCGTTGCTTTATGCAATTCTTTACTTTTACTCCTTGCTTTTATATGTTGTAAGTATAATTATTTATTAACTTATAAAATTAGTTATTTTAATTTCACAAACAAAATGAACATGCTAAACTTATTTTCACTTTCAAATATTTTGCATTTTGACAGGATTTAGGAAGCAAATTTTCTAAATTCCAATATTGCAGTAAAAAATCGGTTTCATAAAAAATTATCAATACATGAAATAATAAACCTATAAATTATGGACGGATTAAAGCAAAAACAAGATTTTTGATAAAATATTTTGGGATTTTTTCAAAATCTAGATGATTTAATTTATTAAATTAGCAATTTTTAGAGCGATAAAATTTATATTTTTATATTAAATAAAAACAAAACTTATTTATTCATCACAAGTATAAACTAAAGCTCCAAAAAAAATCTTACATAACCTATATATTCATACAAATTTATAAAAAATACCTGTAAATTTATTTCTTTAAAATGTTCTTAATTCAAGATAAAAATAACTTGAATAAATACTAGAGAATACGATAGTCTTCACCTTCACTTTGTAAATTGAAAATTATCTAATTTTAATATTTTGAGGACCACTGAATATGGACAGCTTCATTGATATATTTAATCATTTTCTTTATTCTATTTTGTCCCAATTTATAAAAAATATCAAATTACTCTACTTTAGTTAACAGATGATATGAATATTTATATAAACTCTTATGGATTGCTTTAACAAAAACTAGCAGAAATTTATCGATTTACAATAAGTCGATGAAAATAAAATGGTGACATATATGGGCCCGGGGTCTACATGACTAAAAAAACGGAGTAGGGATATTTTTTCCCTATTCTAGTTATTTTCAAACAAATTATGATTTCTAATTACTATAAATTGATTAAATATAAAATTTTTTATAATAATTAAAAAAAATATAGATAAAATGCCACGAGATTAACTTACCACATATACGAAGAGGAAAAGCTTTTGCCAACATTCTATTTGTCCTCGTTTACTGAAAATATCAAAATATTCTACTTTAAACAACACCAAATGTAATAATTTACTTTAAATATAACTAAGCATACGGATTGTTGAAATAAAACTTGCCGATATTCAATAGTTCACGACAATGTAAAGACAAAGCAAGATGGCGTCCATTATAGGCTTTTGCACAAGGCCCGGGGTCCACATACCCAAGCGCACAGAGTGGGGTGAAAATTTTTTTTTCACAAGGCCCGGGGTTCACATACCCAAGCGCAGGGAGAGGCGAATTTTTGCATTTTATAATAATTTTACAATAAGTATTTTTATACTTACTAAATTGATATTATCTTAAATAGATAGTAACAATATAAAAAATAATGAAAAAAACTAAATATGTAAGCTACGGGGTCTACATAGCTAAAGTGAAAAGAAAACAGCAACATTCTAAAATATTTCGCTATATATCATTTTAGAACAAATTATAAGCATCGAATCGAATAAAATATTAATCCCTTATTACTATATTTAAGAACATGATAAAAATATTTCGTAAATAAATCAAAAATCTTACCATTTTCTTGGAAAAAAAATTGCGACCAAATTCACTAATTCATCCTTCAACGAAGTCCTGCACAGGAATGAAAAGCGGCCTAACGGCAGGGTAGGGGAAGTAGGAGAGATATCTGTAATATGATTGGTTGCATGAATCTAAGCATTCTGATTGGCCGAGAGAATTACTTCCTTTAGTAAACTAATTTGAAATACATTTTTACAATTAAGTTTATATAGTATGATATTTAATAATAAAAAATTAAAGATTATTATAAAAAAATAAGTAATAAATGATGTCATATAAAAATTCTAAAGTAATTTGAATGAAATTTGACTGTCTTACTCCTTTTAACAATTTTCATAAGAAATTTAAAAAAATAAGTCAAAGCAGTGAATTGATTGTATTACTCATAACTTCGTCACACTTGTTGTAAATTATTCATTTCCTACTTAATTCACACAGACATAATCTCCAAATTGTTATTAAATACAAATTTATTGCTTTATTTATTTTTAACACGTGCAACAAACCGGTAGTAAACACATGCTTTACCGGAAGTGTAATCTAACTTTTTGAATTTTCAGTATTGCCAAGACAAGAAAATAATGGAATCGGACCAAACTTTTTTTTTTACGCAATTGCTTCACCTGCTTCTGCTTCAATGCTGACAGGCAGTTTTCGTAAAATAAATCATAAAAATTCTCTTTTAAAAACAGTTACAAGCTGTATAAAGTTTGAAAATATAAATTACACAGTCAGTAGAAACTTTCTGAAAGATCACCGTGTTTTCGCGTCAGTTTCTCAGGTAAGAATATGAATTTAAATTTTTTGAGGTTATATTATATTTGTCATATTACATTTCACGTTTTCATTGTATTTTTCTAATTTTTTTTCAGTCTGACTTTGATTTAAGGAGAAATAAAAGTATGCCATCTTCTGCAATGAAGTTTAAATATCCAGAAGCACGACGGGACGATACTGTTGTCGAAAATTATCATGGAGTTGAGGTTAGTTTATTTCTTTGTTGTTTGCTTTATTTTTGGAATTTTTCAAACACACATCTCATAATACTGCAATGATTTGATATTTTATTACTTTATAATTTTTAATAAATTATAATTGACAATTATTTAGTCAAGTTAAATTTAGAAAATTTAAATAAATATTGAGTTTTTTTATATCAGATAAAAATTTATTAATTCAGGTCGCCGATCCATATCGCTGGCTAGAAGATCCTGATTCCGAGGAAACAAAAGCCTTTGTCGAAGCTCAAAATGCAATCACGTCTCCTTATTTAACTTCCTGTTCGGCGAAACCAGCGATTCACAATCGTTTAAAACAGATGTGGGATTTTCCCAAGTATTCCTGTCCCGCGAGGCATGGAAATAAATATTATTTTTACAAAAATAATGGACTACAAAATCAGAGGTATATTGATAATTTTAATCTGTAAGAATTGTATTTATTAAACATTGAAATTAACATTATTTTTCCATACAGTGTATTATATGTTCAAGACACTTTAGATAGTGAACCGAAAGTATTTCTAGATCCCAATACTTTATGTCCAGATGGAACTATTTCCATTACGCAAACAAAATTTAGTGAAGATGGCAATATTTTTGCCTATGGATTATCGGAAAGCGGATCCGATTGGAATAAGATTCATTTTATGAACACAAAAACAGGTAAAGTTATTATATTGCTATATTTTTATATTGTCTTATGATAATGTATATTCTATATTAATTCTTTTTAATTATTTGAATTATAATAATAATTTTCAGGAGAAAAGTATCCGGAAATTTTAGAGCAAGTGAAATATTCATCAATATCATGGACTCACGATAATGTTGGAATATTTTATGGACGATATCCGCATCAAAAATCGGCAGACGGATCCGAAACGGATTCAAGTCACAATCAAAAATTATTTTATCATCGAGTAGGAACACCTCAATCGGAAGACGTTCTTGTTGTCGAGTTTCCTGAGAATCCACAATGGAGAATGTGAGACCCTTCATTAAATAATTATAATATTAAAATAATGTACAATTTAAATTTAATTTCTCTAATCTCATTACGTAAGTGATAGGTTTTATATTTTGAATTTTTCTTAACTTTACAGAAGCGTTGAAGTCTCGGATTGTGGCAAATGGTTATTTATTCTGCCAATGCAAGACTGTAAGGATAATTTGATTTATTTCACTGAATTGAAACCTAATGAAGAAATTAAGGGAAAATTCAATTTGAAACTAATTGTAAATAAAATGGAGGCCGACTATGATGTTAGTAAATTTTCTAATCTAATTTTTAATATTCATAATATAAAAAGATACAATTTTTGAATTTATCTTTTATTTTCCAGTATATAACAAACGATGGTACAAAGGCTATTTTTCGTACAAATAAAAATGCACCCAATTATAAATTGATAGCAATAGATTTATTAAATTATGGAGAAGAAAATTGGACAGTATTATTGCCCGAACATTCTCATAATGTTATCGATTGGGCTGCGCCTGTACATAATGATAAAATTGCTGTCTGTTACATTCAAGATGTAAAAGTAAGTTGCTAAAAAAAATTATTTTCTTTTTCCTATTTTATTTTCTTTCCATTTTATGTTAATCTTTTCTTCAGTCTGTTTTACAATTGCATAGTTTAAAATCCGGGGAAGTAACAAAAACTTTCTCACTTGATGTTGGCACCATATCAGGATTTTCTGGAGAGAAAAAATACTCAGAAATATTTTATCAATTCACATCGTTTTTAAATCCGGGAATAATCTACACAATGGATTTAAAGAAAGATGATAATCCTAAGGTATTGTATTCTATTAGTAATAATGGTAATTTTTTATTTCTATTTCAAAAAATATTTTAATAACATTATTTTTTGTGAATTTTAGATTGTCCGTGAAATTAAAGTAGAAGGTTTCAATCCCAGTTTATATACAACAATTCAAGTGTTTTATACAAGTAAAGATGGAACGAAAATTCCTATGTTTATAATAATGAAGAAGGTAATTCACAATTTTTTTAAAAAAGATTAAGAATTAAAAGTATATTATTTCATTTTTATTTTGACATTATTTGAAATTTAATTTACTTTTCAAAATTATACAAATAATAAATTGTTTATACAGGGAGCAAAATTGGATGGTTCTATGCCAGCATTGCTTTATGGATACGGAGGATTTAACGTTAGCTTGCTACCTACATTTACTGTATCGAGATTAGTTTTTATTCAACATTTGAATGGAGTTTTTGCAATACCAAATATTCGCGGAGGAGGGTAAGATTAAACATTGTTTTTTTTTAAAAATTTGTTACAATTTAAATTACAAGTTTCACATTATCACATAAATTTTCCAAATAAAAAAAAATTTAGCGAGTATGGCGAAAAATGGCACAATGATGGAAAATTATTTAAGAAACAAAACTCCTTTGATGATTTTCAAAGTGCAGCGGAATATTTAATTGAAAATGGATATACAACGAGTAAAAAACTTTCAATTCAAGGAGGCAGTAACGGTGGCCTTTTAATTGGAGCTTGCGTAAATCAAAGACCAGATCTTTTTGGCGCAGCAATTGCTCAAGTTGGGTAAATTATGTTTTTTTCTTATTCATTTTACTTTCAAAGTAATTTAATATTAATTCTCTTATACTTTAAATTATTTTTAGAGTAATGGATATGTTACGTTTTCACAAATTTACCGTTGGATACGCTTGGGCCTCAGATTATGGAAATTCAGATGATCCAAAACATTTTCAAAATCTCATCAAATTTTCACCACTTCACAATATCAAACCACCAAAGGATAATCATCAATATCCAGCAGTTTTGGTATTATCAGCTGATCACGATGATCGTGTCGTTCCTTTGCATTCTTTAAAATATATTGCTACTTTACAACACGTATTTGGAGAACTTCCACAACAAAAAAATCCTTTATTAGGAAGATTTGAAACTAAAGCCGGACATGGAGGTGGAAAATCAACTTCCAAAGTGGTAAGTAAAATTTCATTTTATCAGGAAGTTTTTTTGTCTTTTGGGGAAAATTATTTTTTAAAAAGAAAAAGAACTTCCGTTTAACGCGGGGCGTTTGAAAGTAAACTCTTTGCAATTCTATTCCAGATTGAGGAATTAAGCGACATCTTAACATTCATCGTAAAATCGTTAGGTTTGGAATTTAAACTTTAGTTTTGAACTTTCAACGTTATTTCAAAGTAAAAAAAAAATGCATTTGTTATAATAAAAAAAAAATGGATAAATTATTATTAGAGTTGTAGTTTCCGTTGAAAATTACAATGATACGTGAAACAGCTGTTAAATAGTATTATACAATGTTTTTACTTTATAATACATAAGGAAGTTACCACTCTTTCAGTAGTTCTCTTTTTTAAGTTTTTTGTGATTGATTTCAACGATTCTAGTAATTAATTGCAAAAGTATTTCAAATTTTACAGCAATTCATTTCAAAATAAAATTTATTATTCCTTTAATTAATTATTTAATTCATTAATTTATTCTAAAGATTATGGAAAATTTTAAATAATTAATTAATTTTCAAAGACAATAATAACAATGCAGCCATTTAATGTAAACAATATATAATGTATCTTAATAGTACTCTGTACTAATGGGCTTTGCCCGTATACTTTTCAATAAATAAATTAATTTAGAAAATTTTATTTTCGAAAATAGTGGTAAATAATTAATGTCGAAGTTTTAAATAATGACTATTTAATTTTAATAGTTCTGGTAACTAATTGATTTTAAGTTTTAATAAATTAAATAATTTCAAGGAAATTAGAAAAATAATTGATTTCAAGGTTTGTACTAATTAATATCTTGATTTCAGTAATTATTATTGTGAAAAAGATCAACAAGATTGAAAGAAATTTTAAACTCTTCGAATAGATTAAATAACTCTTTTTTTCTATTATTGCAAAATAAATTTTGTCTTTCTTTTTTTTCCACAAGTAACAATGAGATGGAAAAGTTGTTTTCAAAATTAATAAAAGATTATTATTAATAATAAAAGGAGCATCCCTAAAGTTGAAGAAGAGAAAAAAAAGACCATCTCTTTATAGTAATTTTACAAAGCGGTCACGATAACAGGATCCACGTCACGCATGTGATCGGGAGAGTGCGACCGGTCTTTCATTTACTCAAATCAGTCAGCTTGAAAACGGCGAGCAGTGAAACGCTAATTTAGTTTACCCGGCGCCGAGTAGCGCGCGTGCCACCGTATCACGCGTCCGTGAGGACGAAATCCGATTAATTTGTATCGTGAATTCGTCCCGTAAGTCGGTGGTGAACGGCGCCGTTTAGTCTCTCACAACGTGGGATCCTCCCGGCTCTTGATTCCGCAGGACGGATCAGCTTGTATATTTTTTTTTGGTATCAACAAAATTTTTATTAATTATTTACTGTAAGTAACAATATTTCCATTTTTTAAATTAATATATAATGTTATTCAAAAATAATTAACTTATTTTTAAATAATAGAAATTAATTTATTATTATCATTAAAAATTTTATTAACGACATTGTTTTAAATATAGACAAACAAAATTCTTTAATTTAACTTGTTGATTTTGTTAATTATTTCTTAATTGTATCAAAAACAAAAATTAATTTAATTTAAATATTAAAATTGTTTATTTAAAGTAATTGCGAGAATTTTGAAAAAAATATTCAAATAATATTTTTCTTTGAAACGGAAGTTGTTTGAAATTGACAATAATGAACAGTTTAAGAATTCTATTTTTATTATCTTTTTATTTTCTCCTAGTGTCAATGAAAAGTGCGCAAAGTTCCTGTAGAAAGTGACCAGTGCACTGATATGCAAAGTTTCCGACTTGTTGCATGAACTCTGCGTAAGAATATATTTTTTTTATCCTATACATCATACACTTGGACATGAAAACAAGAATAACTTGAAATGAAAATAGTTTTATTGCTTTTGGAATTTATACAATCATAATTTGCATTTGTTTCTTTTAGTATTGCATATTTCATTTTAAAGTAACTCGTATGTATAATTATAATTTAATTAAGAGGAATTATTATCAAACGATTTAATAAGCAGGATTACAACTTTCTTCAATAATAAAATTCAATTTTTGTCTAATTTTAATAATAAAAATATAAAAATAGTAAATTAAGAAAATAAATTTTTATTTGAATTTTTAATTCAATCAAGTTATTAAATTTTAAATGAAAAAAAATATAATTTTTTTTATTCCTTTCAAATTTTTAATTAAAATAAAAAAAAACTTTTTTTATTTCTTTTTTTTTTTAAGAGGATAGTTTTTTGGGACCTAAAAAAAAGTGTCATTATCGTGAGGGAATTGAGATTTTTGTTAAAAGGATTTAAATGAAAACAGAGATTAAATGTAAACATGTCTTGAAAGTCATTTAATTTTGAATATATTCTTGATATAACTGTCATAATTTTCAATTGATATTGACAGAGAAGAAAAACGTATTTTGTTTGTCTATATATTTAACGAGTCGAGTTTCAAGGTGACAAGGAAGGTTCTTATTAAATCGTTGCATTGTTTTTCTAAGGGCCATCGACACCATCATTCTACATTGAGGAGCAAACACGTGTTCAAATGGATTCAAGTAGTATGTAGAAAAACTAAAAACACTAGTGGTGTGAGCAGAAATCAGTTTTAATCGTTCCTCTTCGGCAGCGGGACGTGTTTTAATTGGTTGAGGAAATTCCCGATTACGAAGAAAACTCCCGCAAATTCTAAGAAATTGGTCTCGCCAGTTCTTCCCTTGATTTGGACGTTGTCGGAATAAGAAATTTATCCGCGGTGTTGTTCCTTGCTGTACATACAAACATTCGAAGAAAACAGTGTGTTTTTCTTCCAAACTTTCAAGGTATTTTTTTAATTATTTTAATTTATGAAAAATTTATCAAAAAAAAAGAACACTAGATAATTAATTTCTATTATTAATATATATTATTGACTCTTGTAAATTTTCTTTTGAATACACTTATTTGTTTCGTATAGCAAAATAGAAACGGTTTTATGTAATCGAATTCTCTTTGTGAAATTTGTATTAATTTGAAATTGAAATTTTATCCGTTTTATTTTAACGAAGAGTCTAATTGTAATTAATTCAGTTATTATCATTCATTAATAAAAACGGAAATATTGGATAGGATTTGAAATTTTGACTGTTTCTTGAAAAATGTCATTAACATTTATATACTTAAAGTTTGCCCTTTAGAAAAATATTATCTTTCATTCGGGTTGAATGACCGCTTTGAAATAACTAAAGATTTTGACTTCAAAATTAAAATTATAAAAGTGATTTTCACTTGAGGACGTTGTCTCATTTATAAACAACAGTTCTACGGAAATATTGTGATACAAGTTCAAAAAGGAAGGTATTCAATTTATCATTAACACTTATGTTTTTAATCAATTTTGTCAATTTCGGAGAATTATATTTTTTTCCTTTTTTTTTTTTAACTTTTGTAAGGATGCAAATTATTATTCCATTTTTTATAAATAAGAGACAATAAATTTCGTTCTGTTTGCGCAATAATTTATCTCGAAAAAATATTATTCGTGCTGAATCCAATATCGCAAAAGCACGACAGCTTGTTATATTTTTATCTCTTTATCCGTTTATTAACTGTTGCAGATATTTTATTGCCAAATATATATATATATAAATTTTGATCATGGTCAGGGTTGTCTTTAACTTAAACTCGTTCATAATTTTCGTGACTGTCGAATAAATATCTTTTCAATTTATCAGAATTTTATAAACCGAATTTTCACTTTTAAATAGTTTTCATTCTCAATTATTATTCATTTTTCCACTTTCACTTATTGTTAATTTATTCAGTTTTGTTTAATTACTTATTTTAAAGAAAATTTGAATTGTTTGAGCAAGTGTATAAGGAAAATTCCTAAAATTTATGTAAAGAAACGAGAAAATTATTTTTATTATTTTTTAAAAACTTTAAACAACCTTATTGAAATTTATTATTATAAATTTTCATATTAAAATTGTTAATTTAAATGACATTTGAATTTCAAGTTTACATTTTTGAAATTTGTCAAAATTAATGAAAACTGATAATAATTTAATAAAATTATATTAATTAGTAAATTTTTTCGCAGGAAATTTCGGTGTAAAACGCCTGGCTGAATAAGATGAGGCCAGACGATTTGCTTTCAACCGAACGAAGAATGGCGGAGACAATGTCCGAAACGTCGGAGGGAACGGCAACAACAAGTGCTTCCGGAAAATCGAATTTCGAGACGGAGATGCAAAATTTTGCAACACTTTTGGGTATTGCAAATCCCGAGGATGTTCATCAAGATCGATTCCGCGTTGATCGCAGAAAATTGGAACACATGCTTCTTGGTATGTATTCTTCTTTTTTTTTTTTTAATTTTTAAAATCAAGTAAAATTAAATAGTAGAAAAAAAATTTATCGAAAAATAAATTAAAAACTAAATTAACCAAAAAATTACATAAAAAAAATTCAATATGCATATAATTTTTTTTTTCTTTAGTTATATTAATAATTGAATTTAATCAGTCGAAATAAAAAATGCAATCGAACTTATCGACCAAGAAAACAAAGTGAATAAAGTTTAATTTGGCAAATTTACGCTTTTTCGATTATTATACAACGCCACTTGTCATATTGACATATTAATTCATAATACACTAAAAACAAGTATTGCAAAGAATAAATTATTTTGTCAATTGAAAAGTTTATAAGTTTTCATTGCGCAAATAAAATGATAAATTTTTTTTTTTTAAAGAAATGTAATGAAATTAATGAAAACTCTTGCAACATTCGAATCCTTTAAATAACGAAACTTTATAAATGAATTTTTGAATGGGTTACAAGGTAATTATAAACTATAATAAAAATTCAATTTATTTGCACTTTTGTGGCGTAATATAAATGATTGTTCCATATTTTATGAATCAGTCTGCAACAAAATAGAAAGTAGTCCTGAGATCGATCACCTTCCTCAGTCATTTATTCGCGCTTAGTTTTAATTTGCATATATTGATATCTAGTTACATATTTCATTTCACGTAATGATTCTTTATAAGATAATAAAAATACAGAGAAAGGAGATTTTTAAACAAAGAAGAAAAAAAGAATTGTTCCTTTTTAAATTAATCAACTTGACATATTTATTATCTCAATAAATAATTAAAATTAAATTAAATTAATTTGTAATTAAAATCAAATAGTCTTACTTATAAATATTAAAAGACATATTAATTATCTTAGATAATTAAAGTAAATAATTAATATCTGTTAAGTATATTAAAAAAAAATATTACGAATTTTGTAAATAATTTTTTTACAAGGATTTGTTGTTGTTTTTTTAATTAAAAATTGTTATGATTTCTTGTTTTTGTTAAAAAGATTTGATAAAGTTTTTTTTTTTTAATTGAAAATTTAATTATGTGACATAAAAGCCACTTAGTTGGTGAAATAATCGCGGAAGTTTATCGTCTTACAACTTGTAAGATATTTGTGCGGTTACCACGGGAAATGATATGCTGTAAAGGTATTAATTCGCTTCAACGATTACGAGTTTGAAATCAGTGAAATTGTGGAAAATGTTTTTAAAATATATATAGAATAATCCATTTTCAGACGCTAGCGTCACTGGAACGTTGAATAATTGACAAGAGGGAGAAAAATAATTGGAACTAATAAAAAAGTTGTATAACAATCGATCAAAGAATTGTATAATATTTAATCCGAATATATTTAATAATTGGGCGAAATTTTCATAATAATGTGAGGGAAAAAAAAATTGTATAATAGTTAATCAAGGATTTTTATTATACATTTGATCTAAAAATTGCATCATGGTTAATTGAAAAATTCGCATAATAGTTGATCGAACTCTATTTTTTAAAAATTGAATAAAATTTTCATAAAGATTGAACAAAAATTATTTAATCATTGATCATTATTTTTATAATAGTAATATTACTTGATTGTAATTTGTTTAATAATTGAAAATTTGCATTTCTTATTTTAACTCGGAAGTTGAATACACTTGAAATATTTTATTTCGACTGTTAAAATTTAAATTTATGAAATAATTAAATGAACGAAGAAGTTAGGAGCTTATTCATTAGTTGTTTTGATTGATTTTAAATAGATAGTGTGTTTGTAAACTATATTAGTCGTATAGTTAATTTCTATATATAGGTATATAATATATAAATGATTAATCTCTCGATTGATGTCTACTGCTCTGACACACCAATATTATGATGTCAAAATAATAATTACAACTTTCTTGAATACATGTCATTATTAACACGTAAGCATGCATGACAAGAATCGTGATGAGAATTGGAAAATGAACAGAAAATGAATTCACTTTCTCAAGTTTCTTGCGTGCACAAAAATGTAAAAAACTTTTTACAATTGTAATTTTTTGGTCAAATCGTTCCACCCCAAATAATCGTTAACACCAATAATATTCAATGGACAATGAAATTTATGTATTATAAATTTTTATTTGTATTTTTATAAACAATATTCTGTTCTATCAAAACTGAGATTTAATTTTCTTTTTTTATTTCTCTGCCATATTTTTTTAATTCAGTTTTCATTTAAAAAATTGAATAATGTTAAAAATTGAATTTTCCTAAAAGGAAATCTTATTAATAATGATATTCCGAGTTTGAATATGACATTTAAATAAATTATATTCATTAAGAAATAATGAAACGAACAATTAACAAAATGTAATTTAAAAATATGTAAATTTTGATATAAGATTTTCTTTGTTAATTTATGATTATTAATTTACATTGTTTGTTGTTTAGGCGACAGTGATGCACCAGAATCTGCTGAATCATTCTTCCAGAAGGTGAGTTTTTTCTTTTTCTTCTATTTTTTATTTATTTATTTAATCCATTAAATGAAATTTAATTAAGATGAAAGATTTAAAATTGTTTGCATCAGAATTAGTGGGTCTTTTCTGTAGGCGAGTTTGTTGGCTGGTCTTTAAGATAATGGGTACAATGAACGAACAAAACAAAACCTCAGTTTCAAACTTAAAGATACAGACAACCGGAAGAAGTTCAAGTGGGAGGCATCAGGGGCATTGAACTGTCACGTGACATCAACACCTATGCCAATAACACTTTTGCAATTGGCATCTAGATATTATGTTTCACAAAAGAATTCATTTACTCAATTTGATATTAACTTTGAATTAGAGGCGATATTTATTTATTAAATTTCCTCATTAGGAAATTATTTGAAACATTTCGTTAGCTTTGTCTTAAGAGGATAACATCTTCTATAAAGAAATAAATATCATATTTTTTTCCAAATTTTCATTATCTCTAAATTTGAATTATTCGGATTGTGTTATAATTTCTAGTTTACTTTACTGTTTATTTTTATTATTTCAAAAAATAATGAGTAAAAGTAAATTATCACAATTGGAAAATTTTAAATTGGAATAATTAACGAGAATTAGTGAAAGTAAAAATAAAGGAAAAATATTTAAGTTATAAAAATTACAGAAAAAAGAAATTTAACTTGAAATTTTTATAAGCAAACGATTGAAATTACATTATTTGGAGGTCTTGTTAGCTGTTTAAACTGAATGACTCGGTAGCTGATGTTTCTCTTAACCTTTCCCTCGTTTCTATTAAAAAAATATCACGTAAGCGTGCCTATCTTTGTAAAGTTGTAGATACTGGTGTCGAGATACTTTCTCTTCCACTTGATAATTAATAACCAGGTCACTAATCTAACTTAATTTTTCGGAGAGAGGAATACATAGTGATAGATAATTTATAACACTGATAAGTTTAATAAATTATGTATTCAAATTCACTTTTTTTTTACAGTCAACCAATAACGAATTATGCAACCTTGCCGTTAAAGAAATTAAATAATTTAATTAATTGAACGTAATTAAATATTTTTATTTTCTTTATCACTATTATATTTTAGATTTCATTATTGATATAGTATTAAAGAAATTATAATTTAAAACTTGAATTTTTTATTATTGAAATTAAAAAATTCATTGCATTAATTTCGAATAAATAAAAATTTTTCTAGTATTTTACGAAATAAACTATAAAATGAGGGAAGATGCAAATTTGTTTGATAAAAACGTGTTTACAATTATCTTTCTCAACAATGAAGTATTGTCTTCAAGGATATGATTTATATGATTATTTAATTTGTTTATAATTACAATTATGCGGTCATAATTGTTGCATTTTTACTGAACTTTTCCATTCAGTGTTTTAAAGTATTTAATTAACGTGTAAATTTACTTCCAAGGGAAATAGGTGAGCTTGACAAGAATAAGTCGAACAATAATTTTATTTTTGCATTCCGTTACAACAATGAGACACTGGAAATTTGTAAAGCCTTGCAATATCATTTTCTTGCTCCATAATTCATGCAATGCTTGAACTTTTATTGTTTCCATGCCAATGTATTCTCACAGCATTATTAGATCATCACTTAGACTTTTTGATCAATTAAATTTTTCCTATTGGATTTATTTTCAAAAGAGAAAAAGAAGCGCCATAAAGTCTCTGAAATTTTGTTTATTATTATTTTTATGTCGAGGTCAAGGTTTTGAGTCCAATGACTCGGTTTATAGAATATAATACACCTGGGCAGATTCATTGGGTTCTTTCTTTTTTTCTTCTTTCTTTATGAATAAAAAGAGAAAAAAAAAAAAAAGTTTCGTTTAGGTGTATATGTTAATGTATAAACGCCGTTCACTGACACGAAGGCAACGATCGCGCTTATCCTTATCATTTCGACCATTGCGTAAAGAGGCCTGGAAATACACTGCTCGATTATTTATAGGATCACTTAAGTACCGCTGTTATAAACTCTCGATCCTTTGTCACAATTTACCTATATATATATATATATTTATATATAACCTTATATAATCTAATATCGACAGACTAATTTATTTTCTCAATTAATTGTTACGATTTTTTTCCATTGTTAATGATAGAATTATCATTTAATCGAAATTTGATTTATTTTTTGCAGTTTTCATCGATTAGTTAAAAGAGAAGTCATTATTGGCGACACTCCAAAGAATGTGTCTTGACAGTCAGGAAATTTTTCGTTTCGCGTGGCATATTATTTTGAAATTTGCCTCAAAATTCACAATTTGACGGGACATGGCATAAATCATGACCAACACTTTACTCTCTATTTTTGCTCTCGACATCTGCCAGGATCAATCTGATTTACAAGTTGTCGCTGTTAGTAAAGGGTTCGCCAAAAAATTTTGCCCATGACGAGTCCGGGAAGTCGTAAAATCAAGATAGAGAGAGAGAGAAAGAGAGTCTTTCGTGCATGAAAATGGGGCGTGAAGTTTATCAGCATCATATACGGGACACAAAGTGACAAGTAAAGAAGTTTGCTATTAAATTCTACGTGTTTCGCAGAAGTTATACATATTATACATTTTCAAAATGTTACACTATGTCAAAAGTTGATTATTTAGGGGCATTCTTCTTGTAAATGTAAAAGGAAAACTTAAATTTACCAGACGTCATTTTACATTTCAAAATAAAGTAAATGAATTTTTGATATGTGAGTTGATAATTAACTAAATCAAAAAAGAGTGAATTTTTTTAAAAATTATTTTGAGAAAAATTTTTAAGATAGTTTTCGATTTAAAAATTTTGAATTACTTTAATAGAGAAATTAATAAAATAAATTGAAAACAAAGAAAAATTTCTTAGAGTGATCTAATATGATTTTTTTTTTGTTGAAAGATTCTAATCAACATTGACAGTTGAGAATTATATAAACTTTGAGGAAATGACATAATTCGTAAAATGACGTTTATTCTCTCCAACTTGCAGATAAACGAGGTGGATTTGTTGACTTTTCCTAGTATCATAAAAGAGTTGTTGCTTTCTTGTTCTGAAATGAGAATTTTCAGAATAGAAAAATTAAAATATATTGTGTATATGTATATATATATGCACGCGCACACAACTATTATACTTAAATAGTTGACTCTCTCGCTCAACACCTGCTGTCGCGAAAACCAGTTTTCTCTAACTCCTTTACTTTAATTGGAGTACACACATATAAAGCTCTCGATCTACAATGTTGCGTATCAATAAAGTTGTTTAGTTACTTAACCTTCTTTCGAAATTTTTATATATATATATATCTATTCGATAATATATATAGGTTCTATGTTTCTATTTAGGATCTCCTTATCATTTTAATTCATCGAGAAATCTTGTCGACACAATACTTGAAAAAAATTCAATGCTCCAAATGCAATAACGTAAAATTATGTTGTTTCATGCATAAAATCACGTTTTCGCTTTATAACAGTGATTGCAATAAGGAAGATAATGATAAAAAAAAAAAATTTTGTTTTCCTGATGAAAGTAAACGTGTTTTAAACACACAAATTTTGTCTGACGAATTTAATCTGTTTTTAATTGTCAGAAATGTTTTTAATCTCATTTTATCATTTAATCTTGAAATTTTTTATTGTCGCGAAACTGCTTTTGGGAAAAATTTTCCCTTTTTTTCCTGTGAGTTTATAAAACGAGGAAGAGAAATTTTTACATATTCATGCTTGCTTTTGATTTTATATTTTTCTTTTTGGTTAATTTAATATTCATATTTTTTCAATCTAAAAACTTTATTCTTTATGTTAAGATGGAAAATTACATTTTCTTGTTTTATATTTAAAAAAAAAACTGATAATATGACGTAAGATTTACTTGATGTGTGTGTGTGAATAGATTTCATCAAAACGTTTCCGTCTTTGACAATAATTTTTCTTTATAAGGAAAAATATGATTCTCTGGTTTGTAGAGAGGAGGCATTTGCAGATTATGGTACCTTCTTCCCTTTTGCTTTCTTCAATGCACAACTGGTATCTCTCGAGCACCGGATCTATAAATAACAATGCACGGTCGAGTTAATGTTTGCATGCATTTGACATAATTTTAGCATCGGATATCTACTTCTTGCCGCTTCTCGGTCGCGGATAACGGAATCTAAGTCGATGTCATTTCAACAAGGGAGGCAATAATTTCTTTAATCTATAATGATTTGACGTAGTTTTGATCTGACGTTATTGTTATTGCAAAATTTATTTAACATTCTTGTGATGAAAATTGCTTCATTTGAGGCATCATTTAAAAAAAAAATGAAAATTGATAATATTTAAAATTTTTTTTAAAGGTCTTTTTAAATATTAATTGCTGATGAGAAAGGCAATGGGTCATGTATAAATTTGGAATTTCCGCGAGAGAAGAGAATATTTTGCTTAATGAAATTATCAGCGAGAGAGGTCGAGATGTATTTTTGGGCAATTGATTAAAGAGTCAGTGATTTCTCTTGTTATATATGTCAAACTCGAATAAAGTTATGACGCAAACTGCATTTTAGTATATATAGTGAAATAAGAGCACAAAAATGGTATCTTTAGGTGACATTCTCTAAGATTAAAAATAGAGTTTATAAATAGCCTTCATAAATATAGAACTTTAAGCTGTATATCCATAAAGCTTTATACTGTAAGCTATCGATTTCTGACTGTAAGGTATCTTCTTATTATAAAAAAGAAAAGTAAGAATTTCTATATTTTACTGAATTGTAAGGAAAGAATATTTTACTTCAATTTTGGAGTTTCTTATTGAAAATAGTTCTTTTTTCAACGATCCAAATACTTCTTTTGTAACTTATTTGAAATTAACTTGATTTCAATTATTTACTTCTTGTTTGTTTATTTTGTTTATATAATTCGAATTTTCGAGGAATGATTATTAAATTTTTTTTAAATTATTTTTTATTTATATTTTCTTTGTGGACTTCTTTTTTATTCAAAAGTGTACTTTAACGTGAGCCAATGTATAGAAATTTCAGGCACTTTTGTTGTACATCATTCTATCCGCTTTTGTAGTCGACGCGTCTAGAAATAATATGGCTTGCACTTGTGTCGGTAATTTTAGTTACAAGTCAGTGTCCGAGTACTTCCCCGAACGTTTTTCTCGGTCATTTGAAATTCCGGTGACTCGATATTGTTATTTCGAATACTTTGTGTGTTCGCACGTCAACTGATTCACAAGTATAATGCATTTTTATCTAATTAATACATCTGAGAATGAAAATTGGAATCTTAACGGCTTTTTGCTTTTTTTTTTAAAGAAAATTATAGATTATCAGAAAGGACATTAATACTCCAATTAGAGAAAAAGAGGAATCTAAATTCTTGAAAACAAACGAAAATATCAATTTACAATAATTAATTTTTAATTAAAAATAGTGTTAATTTGAAATTAGTTTTAAATAATGGCAAATAAAGGAAAATAGATTTCTTCATACTGTTCTAAAAATAAAATTCTTTTTTAAACTTGTTTTAAAGTCCAGCTGCATAAAAAGCAAACTACGAATTAAACAGTAAATATTCGATGTATTTTGGGATGATTCGTTTTATTGTAGTGTGTATCTTCATTTAAAAATTCGTTTCTAATTAGAAACTTTTTTTTCTAGGTGTTCCCAATACATGTTTAGTGCCGGAAACTTTTATTGTTATCGTCATTATATGTACATATAAACGTCCACGTTAACATATGTATTTGTCTCTTCAGCACAAATGGTCTGTGTCAGAAATCGCTGGAATTTTGTTGACTCAGAGTGTGTGTGTGTGGTGTATTTTCGTTTGAGGATCAAGACATTTTGGATGCATTGAATTATTGTATCAGGAAAAACTTGAGGATTTCATATATAATTTCAATGGAGGATCATATGGAGAATGGGAGTAAAAAAAAAAAACATTTTCTCAAGAAAATTTCTTCTTTTTGATCGTCTAATCATTCAATTCTCAATAACAACTATGGTTTATAGTCGTTTATTCAAATTAATTAATGAAGAATTGGTATCTGCTGTCTGTGGGGTATTGGCCGATGTCCGGACGCGACAGTGGTAGGGAACGTCGAGGAGAGAACGAGTGGGAGGTCGTAACCGAGACCAACCCGTTATGTTATCTCGAATTAGTCAGTCAGTCGAGCCAGCGATTCCGCGGCGGTATACGGAAGTTACTGGCACAAGATTTTTCTTTATCATCATCATCTTCTTCTTCTTCTTTTCTTCTTCTTTTCCTCTCGATTAAATATTTATTTCCGGCATTTTTCAGTAATTGAACTTCTGTTTAAAAAAAAAAGAAAATAATATTTATTTTTGAGAAAAAAAAATTTTTTATTCCTTAGAAATATTTTCAAATCTTGAAAATTGTTTTTTCTTCACTTGAGAAAAAGAAGAAATTGAATTTCCAGAGCGGAATAATATTGTGTTTGAAAATGAAAAATAAAGTGTAATTTTGTGTGATTTGTCGAAAGCGCTTTTTAAGAGGTCAATTTGTTTGTTTTTTATTTTTAAAGCCTTTCGAAGTTTATCGGATGGACACGGGCTAATGAGCATGGTATTATTATCGGCTATATGACGACGACGACGACGACGACGACCGTGGAGTCACTATTACGGTAGTGAAAGTAAAATTGCGAATACGCACCGCGCTCGCGTTGTCGGTGTTAGATACCTGACTTCTCAACTTGTGCATTCGTTTACCGTGAAAGTTGCAGGGCATCGAGGTCGCAATGTCGTTCTCCTTCTGTGCTTAGGAGCCTAGAGACTAAAAATAAAAAAAAGCTCTTGGATTACTGTGATCTTGTCGGATTGAGAAAGTTGTTTCGAGTTTCTAACGATCCAGATTCGATTTTTCGGAAATGACTGTGGTAATGTGCTTTTTTTTAAAAAAAATTTCTTGCAGAAAATAATAATTTAATTAATAATTATTCTTTACTAAAGAAATAATAATTTTCTTTCAAAAATACATAAGAGTAAAAAATAGTAACAATAAAAAATAACAGAAAAAGTAAATAATAAATTTGAAATAAAATTTTGTAATTTATTAATTCGTTTTTGAATTTGAACTAATTTTTTGACTTAAAAATTTCAGTTATTGTTTATTTCTGCATTTTGTTTAGAGCAAAAAAAAGGAATAAAAAAAAATGTTATGATGTTTGTTTGGCAGAAGCAAATAGTGAAGTCGAGCACGTGTTAAATATCGTTCGTTTTCCTTACACCCACTCATTGAGGACAAACATTAAACTCACATTGAACCAAATGCAAATATCGCGTTATAGCATGTTTTCTTGATTAAAAAGCTAACCGAGAGCTTAATTTCTTGCGCTTATACAATCAGAATCTCATTTACATTCATTTCATTTTATGAATTTTAAACTAAAAACAAATGAACGCAGATGATTTATAATCCAATCAATAAAAAAAAAATATATATTTATATCGATGATTTATTTTTTTTTTTTTTGCAAAAAATATTTACGGTATTTTATTCATTTTATTCACTCAAATATTTGCAATGGAACGTATAAATTTTATATTCCATTTCAATATGAATATTCATATTTATTCCTATTCATATTTTCCGGTTTATTCAATTTTTACTTTATGAATCATCGATTTTGTTGCATTCAAATTGTATAAATGTTTCCAATAAAATTTGTATCTTTGTGATTTTTTAATGTTTTCAATGAATCATTTTTTTTATTCACGAGAGAAGTTTATTTTTTGATATAGGTATATATTTCAGTGGGATTGGACTTGATTAATAAATAAAAAATAAAGAAAGATAACGAGCTTCTTCACTAATTGTTGATATGCGTTGAGAATGAATTCACGTGAGGTATAAGTGTTTAAAGCATGCTTTTTAACACGTCAGTGCTGACGAATGCATAAAAGAATAATATATTTAGTTGATTGTAAAATTGATAAAGATATTTCTTATCACTTTGACATTAATGCCAATGTTTTTAAATATTGTTGCAGGTTATGGAAGAAACGAATACCTTCGTCACATGGCCTTCCCGATTGAAGATTGGAGCAAAATCGAAAAAAGGTGAAAGCTATTATCCTTAATGAACTTATAATGACAGTAGATTTATAATGATCCTGAATTTGCTTTTCCATCATTAGATATTAGAAACGTATTAATTTATATATAAAATGAGAAATTAATTTCTGTGCTCCAATTTTAAATGAATCAATTAGAATTTAAATACTATTTTGGAGTTTTTTTTTTTTTTGCGAAAAAAGAAAAATGCTATATTTTTCTGCTAATAAGTAAAATCAAAATTTTTAAAAATTCCAAAAGTATTTAAAATTTATCTAACAAGAATAATTCTATTTAAATCTATTTTCAAAAAATTTAAATGTATTCATTGTGATTTATTTTCAAAATATTAATTCATTTTAATTTATTTAAAAAAATCTGTTTGATAAAATTAATTTATTTAAATATATCTTTAAAAAAGTGGATTCATTAAAATTTATGTCTAAAAATTAAAGTAAAATTTGTCTAAACAATAAATTATCTATTAAAATCAAATTCTAAAATTAGGTTCAATTAAAAAAAATATATAAACAATTTAAAAATAGAGAAAAATTTATTTCATTTTATTGCAGTCTAATGGAAAAATAAATATGATTTTTAAATCTTATACGAGATAATAAAAATTTGATTATGTTGAATTAACAAACAGATTAACCTTGAGTTCAAAAGTACATTAGTCTAATTACTGAGAACTTAATTTGACGGTTGTCCAACATTTAACGTGAGATAAAAATTTAATTAAATTAAGAAACCTTCCTAGATTAGTGGGGATTTGTGGTTTTTTTTTTTTTTTTTTTTTTGTAAAGATAAACTATTTATTAGCTAGAAGAATATAAAAAGTTGACCCTGAAATACAAATATTCAAAATTAAATTAAAAACACGGTTTTCTTAGTGTCATATAGTCGTTTGATAGACGAGGACTTTTTACCACATACACTCTTTCAAAATGTAGGACATGAACTTCATTCTCTTAAACCTTGTGGTTTTAAAATGAAATAGGCTAGACAATTATGGTTGAAAGACCCTGGAAAACTTTTTATTATTAATTGTTAATGAAACCGTATATATATTTATATTTTTTAGAACAGATATTTATTTATCTAGTATAAACGTTCATTTAAATCATTAACCCAAATAAAATTTTAGGAAGAAGTGACCTTTTAAAAAATACCGGAAATTTATCTGTAATGTATATATCCGAATATTTTATTTTTATTTCATTGTTCTAATTATTCTTTTATATTTAAAGTTAAACGTTTTTTCATTTTTACGATTAAAAATCATTTTTTATCTTTTTGTTAAATTTACACATTTACAAAATGTGCAATTTACATAATATTTATAATATTAGAAAGTGAAATTTGAATTTCTTTAAATATATAACTATTTTTTCATGAAAGTTTCAATTTGATTTCAAAAATCGTAATTTTGGTTTATCGAGTCTTGAAAGACATTTTTCTGCTTCTGCACGTTTGTGGGTCGTGGGTCGCATAAATTAAGCAAAAAAAAAAAAAAAGCTCGCGCAGATAACGAGCACAATACACATGCAGTTTATTCATTTCGAAACGACTTACGTGTTACTCAGTAACAATATTTCTGTCGTCAATTTTAATATATATAATGTTGTTAACATTTAAATTTACTGTAAATATGATTATATTTAAAAAAATATATATTTTTAATTTCGATTAACGCAATTAATTTTTTTTTGTTTGTTTAATATCAAGATGCATTTTTCTTTCTTCTTAATGACTTTCATTGCGGGGGAATAATTAATACGAAATAACTTTTTCCCTCCGAATTTCCTAATTTTATATACAATTAGTTGAGTTGAAAATAAATATTTCCATCCTTGAAATAGATATCAGATAATGATCAGATAGCAGTAAAGTCATTTCCAGGTGACTGAAGTTTTTTTTTTTTTTACAAAACTCCACAACCTTCAACCAATTTCAGAAAACTTCCTGTTATTTTTTTTCCATAAATAGCGCTCATATATCTGGCTTTTCTTTAAAAAAAAAATGATTAAAAATGTTTCAATATTGTGATTTCATTTCGAGATCACTGATTTAGAAATTTTTTTTTTTATTTCTAATTTTTATTGATTTTGTCGAGCGGGTGGAATTTTTTTTTTTCTTTCAATTGAAAAAGATAAAACTTTGAGACATATTTCAAAAATAAATAATAATTCATTGACTTTATTGAGTAATATTGAAAAATACAAAAATAATCTTCGATTACAGAGAATGCATACAAATTGTTATAATGTCAATATGTCTTGCAGGTTAATCCGGGCTTGAAAACGATTCAAGAGGGAGATTAGACTTGTTAATATGTCATTGTGAAGAGATAGACAAACATATTGGATTGTTCACTGTATAAGATGAGAGATGATATTTCTTTGACAATGAATTGATATTATATATATATCAATGGCATTGCTTCCTTATTCTCGAAACTGTCGTGGAAACTTTTTGGTGATTCACCCTTTTTTGCTATTTGTGACATTAAAAAGTTATTGGAACTTCATTTACATTATTTACAATTTAACAGGTTTTTCTGCGAGGAATATTAAAGCAATGTCATATAATTGACATTTTCAACCCTCATTGTTTCCGGTAATTTTTCCACTATTCTTAGTATTTAAACAAAAAAATTCCATTATATTTAGAAGAAACTGTTTTGGAAATATATTTATCTCTTATCAATTGTGGAAAAACTATTCCACTTGAATATTCTTAGTCTTTTTAATTTTTCAATATTTGTCTTTCTTTCAAATTACGTAAACAATTTTTTTTTAAAAATATCTCAATCGTAAACGATCAATTTGTTTATAATGACTGTTTATTAATTAAAATATCTATGAAAGAATAAAAAATTAATTTTTAATATATAAATTAAAATATAAATAACTAAATGGTAAAATACATACTAATAGTAGTAATACATACTAATAATAATAGTAAAAAAAAAATAATAATGTAATAATTATAATAATTTAGAACACAATAAAATTTAAAAATACAAATGTAAAACAAAACAAATGCTTGGTGAAATTAATTATACGTTTAACGTAATCACGTTAGGATTATATTATGCAATTTTTATGACTTCTTACAATCGCTGTTCATTATTGAGAGTTTAATTGTTTTTTCTTTAATGATTGTTATATCGTTTTAGCAACAGTTTTATAATGTGTGTAGTTTGATTCTAAAAATATTAAATGTTTTTCTTTTTTTAAACATGAAAAGGAAAAGAATATTTAGTTTCTTTATTAAAAAAAATAATTTAAATCAAATTTTTTCGTTGACAATACAATAATAAAGTAGATTTAACATTTGTATGTAATAATAATTATAATTATTAAATTTCAAAAAATGTTAAAAAATTAATAAAGAAGGTCAAATAATTAAGAAATTGAAAAAAATATTTAAATATTTGCAAAATAGATCAAAAGTGTAAAAAGTAGGTCAAGAAATCTAAACAAAAATGTCTTGAGAAATTTAAAAATAGAATCGAGAAATTAAAAATATAATTTAAGAAATAAAAAATAGTCCGATTAACCGGTTTTTATAAACGAAGGTTATTTATAAATCATTAGCTTGTGAAAGAAAAATAAATTTCTCATTAAACAAATTGATCGTCTGCGATTAAAATATTTACTATTTATTTATTACTTTCTCACATAAATGTTCTTAAAGGACTTAATCCTTTCTATTAGAATTGTTAAAAATTATATCCAAAGTTTTTTATTTTCTTTTTTTTTATATGAGAAATGGCAAAATGTCATTTTTTATTGTATAATTTGAAATTAGAATGAAATAAATTTGTTGGTCAAATTTCACATTTGCAAAAGTTAGTTTGTCACGTAATAGATAGGATTAAAGATCGCCTTGGTTGTAATCTCCTGCAACAGTCTCACGTGGCTGAAAGGTTTATTAGCGTCTTCTTGTCTCCCAAGAGTGATGTTCCAATTCTCCACGGTAAACAGTTTTATAACTGTTAATTTTTTAGAAAAAGACACAGAATTTTCTTTTCAATTTTCAAACATATGTATGTATGTTTTTTTTTTTAATCAAACCTTAGCTTCATGAGTCATTAAGTAAACTCATTGATTTACTTTACTCATTCAGGTAAAATAGTGTGTAAATGTTATTTTAAAATATCTTCTTCATTTTTTTTTTCTTTCATGCATTTCATTAAGTTTCTCTTCCATTCAAGTTCTTATAATTAACTGACGGTTCAGTGGTTAAAGTTCAAAAAATGTTTTCTCATAAATACAAAACATCTTCAATATTCTCTTTTGCAAATAAATTGCGATATTTTTCAGGCTTATTATAAATTTCTGATTGGAATTTATTGTGATTTATTAGGTTCGATTTTGAATTCTTTTTTTGAATGGAATGAAGTATTTTTGTTTTATATTAAAAATAGAGAATGACGTGTGAGAAAATTCCCGATAAACCAGTTATTTCTGAGTAGTTTAGCATTTTTAAAAAAGGTTTTTGAATTAATTTTGTTTTCAATCTGAATTAACAGTGATCAAAATGTTTATGTTGTTATTTAAATCATTTTTTTTTTACCATTTAAACGGTAAATTCCTTTTTATTACATAACAAAAAAGAAATGTATGCTTCTCGTATTTTGTTTGCTATTGAATATACAATGTGTGTACTTATGAACGGATTGTGAAAATTTAATTTCTAAAATTGCAGGGGGTGTCGTTGAGTTTTCTCTGTTTTAAAGAAACGACCAATGCGGCGCCAGTTATATGCAAATTAAATTGAATAATACATGAACGAAGCATTCACAAGATTAGTCTATAGAGTAACAAATTTGTCATTTGAACATTTATCACTTTATCAGTTTTCGCCGATTATCCAACCAAGTTGTGTGCATTTATTTTAATATAGTGATAAATTGCCATTTAAATCTGTTCATTTAAAATTAATCTCGCTTTTCTCAGGATAAATCTAATTGTTTTAATTATAAAATATCGGATCGTTAAAAAAATATTTTCTCATTATTTAGATAAAATAGGGAAAGGATTCCGATAAAAAATTTCTAAATATTTTCAAAAAAATCATTTGGTATTCCTCCAATTATTATTTTAATATAAACGTGACTTTTTTCCAACACTTTCCATATCCAAAGACCGTAAATATATTTTTATATAAATAATTGCGGTTGGCATCTTATATTTTACATATAATATTACACCAATCACTTGTGTAATTTTACTCTATGTCAGATTAAAAAGACTCTAACGAGTCAGACTTTTTATTTCGCACAGTGTGTTTCTTGTACTTGACATAATTTTCCATATAAGATTCTATTGCTTAAACTATGTTTTTCTTATTGTTATTTCATTGCTTTTGTTTATAATTAAAAAAAGTTGGTATATTGTAAAATTTATGGAAATTAATTTTCATTTCTCAACTGGATTTGTTGATAAAATAAATGTTTAAGATTATCATAATTTTCCATTAAAAGTTTTTCCATTTCTATTATGGACGAATTAAATTATTAAATAATAACATCAATTATTTCGGATTAAATGGCAATTCTTTTATACACGTCATCATGTATCAATGACAATGTATACGTGACTCTAAGAAGGAAGACGGTTACGTATCTTGTTGTTTCTTTTTTACACTCTTTCGAAAGAAAACAGGATAAAAAAATTTAATGTTTTTCATTAAAAAAAAAAAATCTTGATTTTGATGAGAATTATTGCTGATAAGAAATGGAAAAAAAAATTGAATTAAAAATTTATAAATAGGAGGAAATTTTTCTTTGATTTACGGGGGGAAAAGTATATGAAAATAAGAAGATTATCATTTTACTATTCTAATAATAGAATTACAGTTTAACGATATACACAACCTGTAATCGTCTTTACTAATGAAATAATTAGTTTAATCGCATTGGAGAACGTGCAACTTTAAACCTTGTTATTTTCCCTAGTACAGTTATTACCTATTATGTGATATGGGTCGGAGAGCTCGTCTCGTCACGCGATGTTTTTTCCCTTGGATTTTCGAGGAAAGCTTCATTTTTTTTTATTTATTAACAGTAGTACATACTTTTTTTTTAGAAACTTTATAAGAAAAATTGGTATCAAAATTACGATCAAAAATTACATTTTTCAATAAAATGTAATAGATATAATGTTTTTTTTTAAATTTTAATCAATTTATGTTTTTTATAGTCTGTGTACAGTCTGAAATAATATTCAACATTTAGTTTCTATTAATTTATTCAAATTAATTCAGAGGAAAGTCGTTTTATTTATAATCAAAGACAAAGAAAAATGCAATTAATAATTTGTAGCAAACATGTTTTTAATCTAAAGCACACGAAATGTTTTGGCTGATGAAAATTCATTTGCATTTACAGTTCAAAAAACTGGGACGCAAAAGTCTGTCATGCTTGAAGACGGTAAAAATGAAAGTAGGCAGCAGTGTATAGTCAGAAAAAAAAGTGAATTAATGGATCAAGCGATTGTGGTTTTCATTTACTTTGCTCTCTGTTAAATTAATTTGTGGTTTATAATTTATGTTTCAGATCCCCATATAAAAGTCGCTGGACGACTTGACGACGTGCAAGTTGCCAAAGAAAAAATCATGCAAATTTTGGACACGAGGGTTAGTTGATTTTTTTTTCTTCATTTTTTAAAATTATCATGGGAATTTTTTTTTTCCAAATAATCTAAAAATAAAACAAAAATTTTAGGAATATAATTTTTATTTGCAAAATAGGTAAAAGAAATTCATTTGAGAATAAAGGAAAAAAAAAGCCTTGGCTAAAATGATTTGAAATGTATTCTCACTATTTTTAGAATCGACATGTTTGCGATTTAAGTTTCCTCTAAAACACTAAATTTATTTCACTTCAAAGGTCAACTGAATTAAATTTTAAGACGAAGCCTCGTGAAAACTGTTACATAAAGATTGGTGGGGTACAAAATTCAAGATATTTCATGAATTGCAAAAAATATCATTCAACTTTCAAGCATTACAGTGTTTTTTTTTTTTTTTTTTATTTATAGTTGTCAACAAAATAATCGTAATCCGCGGAGTAAAATATAATTATGTTGGTGCTGTTCGAGTCCAGTACCGAAAAGATATCGCAAAGTCAGACATTCAAACCAATAATCTCAAAAACAAAATTAAATTTCACATCAATCAATATTATTGAGACATTAAAAAAATAACAGTTCGTTTAAATTTTTAAAAAATATTTTTTTAATTAAATTTTAATTTTGATTAAATCTTCTATATAAAAATATTTTAACAGAATTATAATTTTCACACATTTTTTAAAATTATCAAGAGTCCAAATTTAAATTTTTAATCGTTTTCGAGAAATTAGGATTCTTTTTTAATAAAAAAAATTGAATTCAAAGTTTAGTGAAGACTTTTATTGAGATTAAGTTCTTGTTCTTTCAATATTATGTCAGCTTGAGATAAAAATAGCTTGTAGTGTCACAATGATAATACATAATGCAGAAGATAAACACGCACCTTATAATACTTGGATCCGTAAAACTCGTTCTTACGATAAGAGTGTCTTTTTTTTACGAGAGATACTTCGTCAGTCAAAGACCCATTAAAAAGAAAAGAGTAAACTCTGCTTCTATCATTATCTTCGAATATTTTAATTTCACCTAATCCAAAAAAACGAGGCCTCGACTTTTTTTTACAGTTCAACCTCTCATAATGCAGAAGCATTACGAATATTTACTTCACTTGTATATTTTTTTTTATTTTCGTCATAAATCTCTTCAGTGATAAGAATTGTGAAAATAGAATACTGGATAAAAATACGATTTTGAAAAAATTTAAATATGTTTCTTTACTTTAGATTTAGAGAATTTTTTCTTGAGAAAGTGGATTTTAAAAGATAATTAATTTTTTTCCAGTACTTTTTAATTAATTAAATTAGGATTAAATTAAATTAAAAGTTATTAAATTAGAATTAAAATTAGTTAACTTTTTCTTTTGAAATATTAATTTTTTTTTTTGTATTTTCAGCAAAACAATAGAGTAACAATGAAATTGGATGTGAGTTATACGGATCATTCGCATATTATTGGAAAGGGTGGATTAACGATAAAGCGAGTGATGGAGGAAACAGGTTGCCACATTCATTTCCCGGACAGCAACCGCAGTAATCATCAGGAGAAGAGCAATCAAGTCTCCATAGCAGGAGAAATGGAAGGCGTCGAGCGGGCTCGAGCTCGAGTTAGGGTAAAAATAAATTTCAAATTTATTTTCTAACACTCGTATTCGCAAATTCTTGATATTTTTAAAAATTCTATTTCATTTTCTAGTATTGAAGAAAAGTTCCTTTTAGTTTATTTATTGTCATCAGGAAATAAAAAAAGAAGCTGTTGACGTCTAGAAACTGACCCTAAAAATACAGGTTTAATATCTTTTTAAAATAAATTTTTACATCATCAACGTGAACGGAATATTTTCATAATTCGTATTTTTCAGTTATTTTTTTTTTATTTTAGACTCGCGCTTAATATGTTTTTGCTTTCTTTCTCATTCGTGAAATAGGCAACGATTCTCATTCGATATACTAAATTATTTTCTGAATTCCTGCCAAATGTTTCCATTACACGGATAATTTGTTTTTGCATTTCACTTTCAACAACAATGTCAGTAAACAGTTATTAAACACAGTTGCAAGCGATTCCTTAATATTATAATGATACTTGTTATCGCGTCTTTCTTATCGGTCTTCAATTTTTTTTTCTCTTCATCATTTTATTTTTCTCCATTGCACGATTTTACGATTTTTATCATCAATTTCATCCAATTAATGAAAGTTAGACGATAAATGTTGATTAAATATTTTAAAGCGCAATAAGTGAAAAAAAATTTATTTTTGCATTTTTATTGTTTACAAGATCTTGTTCTTTATTTTTATTTATGTGAATAAGAAAAAAAATTTAATTATTTTATCATTTTAGAAAGAAAATATTTTTAATTATATTTTGAATTTTTTGTTTCAGAATTTGACTCCCTTGATTTTTTCCTTTGAATTGCCGATCATGGGCGCATCGCAAGCAGTGCCAGACTCAACGTCGCCTTATGTGGTGAAGATTCAGGAACAGTACAATGTTCAAGTCATGTTTCGCACACGGCCAAAGTTACATGCTACTTTAGTGGTTGTGAAGGGATGTGAATGGGAGGTTTCTCAAGTGAAGGAGGCCACCGTTCTGCTGATTCACTACATGTGCGAGAACTTAGCTGTAAGTAATGACTTCATCTTCTCTTTTCATGTCCTTTTTCGTATACGACAAATAATCATCTTCCCTTTTCTTTTCTCCTCGTTCCTTTTCATAAATCAATCAACATTTTCTTACAAATTTTAAAATTTAATTTCGAAAATTTTGAATTTTTAGTTCCTTTTATTAAATTTAAATACATTTTTTCTTTATTTAATTTCAGAGTCAAATTCAAGTACAAATGTCTATGGAGATCTCTCCGCAGCATCACAGCATTGTGCTAGGAAAGCAAAGTAGTAACTTGAAAATTATTATGCAGCGAACCGCTACACAAATCATGTTTCCTGATGCTGGCGACCCGAATATTCCAAGTCTGAAGAAAAGCAACGTTACGATCACTGGTTCAATTCATAATGTTTACCTAGCTCGCCAACAATTAGTGGTGAGTAATGAGCATCTTAATTAAACATGATTTCGAGATATTCTCAATAGCGAAACATTTCTTATCAACAGTTATGTGCATTATAATTCAAAAACTCTAAAAAATTACAAGAATTCATTATACTTGGATATAAAAAAAAAACAACTTTTTTTTCATGAAATTCTAATCGCTCAAGTTAAAATTGGTAAACATGAGAAAAAAAAAACTTAAATTGTGTGGAAAAGATACAAGATGGGAAAAAAACATTCGAGATCTTTTTTTTTTATTCACAATATTTAATCTACTTTCTATTCTTTATGAGTTGAAAAAAAGTATTTTTCTATTTCTGTTACTGAAACAAGATGTCTTGTAATTAAAAACATTTTCCATTTCTCTAACTAAGGCACATTTTTTTTTATTTCGGTTATTAAAAAACTTGTTCTTTTATTTTATAACTAAAAAAAAAACATTAAGTTTTAATTTTTTAATTAGCAATATTTCTTACTAATCAAAATTTGTTGTTTAATTCTTTTTTTTTTGAATTTTTTTAAAAATAAAAATTTTTAAATTATGTAGAAAATAAATTTTCTATTTCTATAACTAAACAACTATTTTTTCTCTTGATTTTTACGCGATAAAAAACCAGAATTTCTAGCTAAATGAATCATACGGAATTAGAATATTTTGATCCTTGAATCTCAAATATCACTTTTATGAATATTACATCATCCAGAATTTTAGTTCGGGATAACGGTCTAAATTTTTTATACTTTCTCCAAATAAACTTGTTGAATAATTTTTTTTAAAAGCAATTTAAACGTCAATTTAATTTAACGATCATGACAAAACTAAAAAAAGAATTTTCCAAAAATTCTGAAATCAACTTTTCTTAAAATTTAATTAATTAATTAATTTACATTCTTTTTAATTATTTCTAATAACTTTTCGAATTAATTGATCAAAGATTGTAATAAAAGATCATAAACCAATTAGTTTTCTGTAGTCTAATTAAAAATATTATTTGCTAATTGAATTGTTTTGAAATTAAAATATTCTTAACAAACCTCAAATAAAAAGTGCTTTTAAAATGTTCAGTATCAATATCATTGGCAAAAAAAAAAAAATGAAATGATGAAAGTTTAATACAGAAACCATAACGATTTTGATAATTTGTCGTACGTGCGCAACTTTATCGCGTTCAGATAATTCATCATTTTTTTCGCAACATTGTAGATTTATAATGGAAAATATTTGCACTCTTTTTGAACCTTATCTCTATTATTTTTGTCTACATCGTTAATATGTACATAACTTGTTGATGATTTACTAGAAGACTGATATATTAAATTGAAGAATTTCATACAGAAAAGTATTTTTATAATTAATTCAATGAAAAAATAAATAAAATATCTTTTTTTAAGCTTAAATAAATAAATATAGAAAAAGAAATGTAACCAAAAATGAATTTTATAATGAATATAATATCTTTTATAATCAGTATATAATTTATCGGTTGATTTTATTGTTTCTCATATATGGATTTAGATAAGATTATTTTAGCGCAAATAGGAAAAGAATGACAATATTAATGATTGGGAAGGTTAAGGGCAGAAAATACGCATTTCCGGAGACATTGATTATAAACCTGTTTGCTTAAAAATAGCGCCAAGTCATTTATTTCTTGACCTCTTCTCTATAGTCAGCCGGAGATATTCTTAATGCAAGGTCATTTCTGCTCATCTTCAATATATACAATTTTAACTGCAGCTGTTTAGCAAATCGTATTTGTCTTAACAACGCCTTTAATGATATCTTGAATCATTTATTAAGACGAATTATTCGAGAATTATAATATTTTCATTAAAATGTATAAATGTCAAGTTTAATTTTTGCTCGCTTACTTTACGACTAAACGTCTTAATAATTTCAACTTTCTAATTCTTAGTCAATATTCGATTGCAAAAATAAAAATAAATAATTCAAGCATTCTTTTTTTCATCAAAAAAATTTGTTAAGAAATTCTAGTAATATTGATAAAGAAATTGCAGAAATTAGAAATTTTTTTTATTAATTTTGGAGAAATTTTCTCTTTCAATTAGTAATTTTCTTTTATTGTTTTTATTTATTTATATATTAAATTTATCTGAATTAATTAATTCACATTTATTTTAATTTTATGGTTTATTAATATTTTCTTTTCAATTTCAGGGTTCTTTGCCTCTAGTCCTTATGTTTGATCTTCCAGAAGATTCCGTTTCCTCAGTGGACTCGGATAATATTTCTAACTTGATGCAATCATTAGACGTGTTTATAAATGTCCGACACAAGCCAAAACAAAGTGCGCTTTCTGTAATCATCAAGGGAATAGAAAGAAACGCAAGCAATATTTACGAGGCAAGAAAGAAACTTCTTGCTCTGGATGAGCCAAGAGTTCATGCTGAAATACCGGCGACTTATCACACTCCAAATGCCACTAATGTTTTTCAAGCAAATAATAATAACAGTACTGGTGGTTAGTATGTTTTTCATTCAATTAATTATGTTTGATTCACAAAAATTAATTTTTCAATTAAAAAAAAACGGAATAATTTGAAAAATTTAATTATTTTGTCAGGATTGCACAATGTGCTCGCTACGGGATCAGATAATTTCTCAAATATATTGACGGTAAATACACAAAATCCACCGTATTGCGTATCGCCAATGATGCATTCGCCAAGTCCTTTGAGCCTCTCACCACACTGGGGTCTTCCAACAATTCCTTCAATGTTCTCACCGCTTCCGGTTCATCCTAATCCCTATGTGGTCTCACACTTGAATCATTTATTAACGACACAACAAATGATGGCTAGCAATTTAATGTCTCAACAACACGGAATGTCTGGACAGAATTTAACGTCATTGAATCAGGTTCATCCCAATATACCCAACGTTTTTGCCGGCATGAATAACTTAAGTCTGAACGCTAACTCTCTTTCGGATAACAAAGGAGGTAGTGGTGAGTATTTTAATTTTAATTTACTTAAAATTTTACTATCATTTTATTTCAACTCTGAATTAATTTACTTGTCATATTTCAGCTTACTCTTCGTTAAGCAGCGTTTCCAGTTCACTTTCTAGTCCTGCAATTAGTCCTCGAAACTCATCACCGGTTAATCCTGTGGACTCTAACTCTTCTAATATAGGTAAAGGCATAATTAAGAATTTATTTTACAAATTATTTTTAAAATTTAAAGTTTAATTATTGTATTTATTGATGATTGCAATTTTCTTTTAGATCTGGCAACTTTATTACAAGATCTCACTATGAACGATCGTCGAGCACCTGGATGTGAGAAAAAATCGTTGGAAATGCATCAGAATCTCACGCCTTTTGATTATGAGCAAAAAAAAATGCTTGCAGTCAAGGCCATGCAATCGAAACCAAATCCAACTGACTATCGTGTTCCAAATTCTGCCTGGACAGGCTATGGACTTAGTCAAAGTACTCCTCTGGCACCTGGAGGTGACATGAACAAAGTAAAAAAACATTTTTTTTTCTCTAAACAAATAATTAATTTATATTTATTTGATTTCCTAATTTTTCATTTGACTAATTTAATATAATTATTGATTAAATTAATTATAGATTGATTATAGATTTACCAAATAATGAATTATTAATGTAAATTGTAAAAAAAAATTAATTTGTCACCATTAGTAATTAAAATTAATTATTCTGGAAATTTTTATTAGGATTCAGCTAGTCATCCATCAGACTTGTGGAAAGAGCCAACAACTCCTGTTTTCAATACAGCAATGGACTTTGGAATTTCAACAACTAGCGAACGTAGCAATCAACTCGCAATGGCTTCTAATTTCATGGATCACACACCTTCGGAACAAATAAAAAAGATCACTGGTCATCAATATAGTGACTTGCCAAGCCTTCTGGCTAGTGTGGGTCTTGAAAAATACAATCGTAAGTTTGAAAAAAAATAATTTAAAAAAAAAATTTATTTTATTTTTAATGCAACTAAATTATTTTAATTAATATTTATATTAAATGCAAGTTAAAATTCTCTTCGTTCTTAGACCTCTTCCAACGTCAAGAAATTGACATGGCCACCTTCCCTTCTTTAACGGAAAAGGACCTCATTGAACTTGGAGTATCCGCATGGGGCGCAAGACGTAAAATCGGCCTCATGATAACTGAAATGAACAAAAGATCTAGTCCGTTTTCCGGCAGTGCAGCGCCAGGAGCAGAACGAAAAATTAGTTCTTCCGCAAGTTCGCCGCCATCGATCAAGAATAATCTCGATACCAATTGGTGATTTTTTTTTTTAAATCAAATCTAATATATTTAATGTGCTTTTCTACAAGCACTGCCAGATAATCCCCTCCTCAAAAAAAAAATTGAAATTTAATTCACGAATTAGTTATATGAGGTGCGAAAAAGAATTATCTCCAATGGAGAAAAAATTGCATGATACCTTAAAAAAAAAAAAAATAGTTTCGCGAATCGGACGAGTAGAGTTTATTTTTTTTAAAAAAACGCACATTTATTTATTTTTTTTCTTTCTTTTTTTTTTCTCTCTTTCTCGGTTCCGTATTCCAATTTTAGATTGTAAGGAAAATGTTTTGAATTTTTCTCTGTTAATGTTGTTTCGTTGCCTTGTCGATCGATTAGATATTTTAGCGTAAAAAGAAAAAAGAAAAGTCGAGTAGACTCGAAAAATTGTTTATCGTCTCACGTTGAGATGTTTATTTTTTTTTCTCACTGAAAGATGAATTCTATTGATTTAAAAACTAAAACAAATAATGAAAGAAGAAAATCAATCAAATGACGAAACATCTTGAAGGCGAAATAAAAATTCGAGAATATTAATTAACTCTCGTACTTTAATTAGATAGTTGTTATATCAATCGACCGAGTTCTGTGTCGTCTTTGTCTGTGATGAAGGAGGATGCTAAGGCGTTGAGTGAAAAAAAATCTCTTGCAAACGCGAAAAAAAAGTATTTAGATTGAAAGTTTTGAAAAAGCGTTTGGAGATTTTAAGCTCTGTACTTGAATAATAAAAAAAAAAAGATGGGCGAGGAGGGTCCCGTTGGCAAATGCATTCAGCGATTTCTCAAATTTACTAACTGTGCATAATTCAGACTAAGCTCGAAAGCGTGGAGACTTTTTTTTTCTTTTTTTTTTTTGCATTTTAATATCCTTTAAATGACTTTCGTTAAAAATTTCAAGGACTCGCTGAGATTTTAACAGTCACTGTTTAAACTTTTTTTTCAACTAGTTAATTTAATTAATTTTTTCTTTTTTTTTAAATAATCAAGTTAAATCTTTGAAGGAATAATAACATAAATATATTAAAACTGACAATGACATATGAGTGACACTTTAAAGAATAATTAACTGAAAGATAAATTTAATGAGGATTAAACTGAGAATCAGTTTTAGAAAAGAAATTAACGTTTTCGAGTTTTAATAAAATAAGTTATATTATTATATATGTATAAAAAAAAGTATTTATTGCCGGTGAAAACGCTGAATGCACGCCGACCAAAGGAAAATGTAGATTAAAATGAAGAAAAAAAACAATTATTGTCGGCACCGTGATATATAAATTTTTTCTGGTCGCAAAATCGATGATTTCAGCACATTTTTAACGAAAGCCCTGAAGCTCGTTGCCAGGTGGAAAAAAAGTGGTTTCAAAATATCGATATTTGTAAATGAGTCGTTTATAGACGACTAAATCTACAAACTTAATCAGAGACTAAGTAGTTTCTTTTACGAGTAATACGAATCGCGCGAAAATAATGCAAAAATATATATTTCTTTTTTTTTTTTGAGAGCAGAACTTTTCGTGCGTTATAAATTATTTTGGTTTTAAACCTTTTTTTTTCTTTTTTTTTCTGGCACTTGTATACGCTTAAACTAATAATAATGGCACTGATCTTAAAATTTTTCGCTCATTTTCTAAATTCGAAATATTATTGAAAGAAAAATATTTTTAAAAAATATATAGAAAATATTTGTCGATAAAATATTTTTCCACATTTTTTTTTTTAATATTTCGATTTAAATGAAAAAATCGTTTTTGATTTTTTATTTTTCCCAATTTTCAAGAGAAAAATTAAAAATCACGTTTTTTTCATAAGCGTAAATAAAATGCGAATGGTTTGTTATATTCTACAAAACTCTTATTCAATAATTTATTCGTTATTGAATTTTGTTTTTAGAATATCAGTTTGCATTTTTTTTTTTAATTAAAAATTTTATGATCAGTTAATTGCCTGAGATTTATAAGAGAAAAAAAATCAAGGGATACATTAATAGTAAAAGCTTTCAAGTGCCTAGCAAACGATTTTATTGCTAAGAATTGATGACTAAACTTATAAAGTTTTAAGCATAAATTATTTCTTGTTAAATATAAAAATAAGCCGAGTCGCGTGCTAAGTAATTAAAAATGTGCCTGTGTATAAGTCTCTACTGATGTTATCTTTGTTGCTATAGTTCAGTAATGATTTGTTAATTAAGTAGGTCAAGTGTTAAAAAAAAAATTAATTCGTTCATTTAAAAATTGGACGTAATACAAAAAAAAATAATCTTCTCAGAGATGTGAATTTAAAATTTTGCCGAAAAAGAAAAATTCGATTCCATTACGATATCTTCAATTTTTCATTATTTTTAGCAAAATTTTAATTCACAATTCTCCGCAAGATTTTTTTTTTTTTTTGTGAAAATATTTCCAACCTTTTTTTCATAAAAGTGCAAAGCACTAGAAATACAAAAAATATATATAGATTTTTCTTGTGGATAATAAATTCAAATTGCAAAAGCGAATAAATAAAAAAGCAAGAATAACTCCTTAAAAAAAAAAAAATTCTCCTCCAAAAAATAAAAATTTTCGAAATAGTTTTTCTTATCTGCTTTGTAATCGATGCGCAGAGATTTTTTCCCGAAATTTTTTTTTTCATCCCTCCCTTTTTTTTGTGCATGCGAGAAAATAAAAAGATATCCACTATCGTATTCTTTAGACGGTTGCAAATTAAATATCTTATAAGATGGGTTTCGAATTCAAGAAAGTCCTTAATGTTCCTATTATATCGTATAAAAAAAGTAATAAGCGTATGTTAGTGATTTATTTGTTAAAGAAAAATAAAAATTTGCAATGAAAATGCAAGTGATAAATTCGAGCTAGTTAATAAAGAACTTGGCTGCTATCGCGAGATTAATTAAATTAATTTTTGCAACAATCGGGGCTATAGGAAAAAAAGTGATTAAACTCGGTGAAAAAAAACGGGTTTTTTTTTAAAAAATTCTTTTTTTCTTTAAATATTACCCCTATGACATTTTTTGCGACTGGCAAATAACATGACATACCTCTCTCTTTATCAGAAAAATGCATCGGCCCCTCGGTGCGCGGCCATAAAAAATGAAAATAAAATAGTTCCAAGCATTGCTCATAAATGACTGTTATATCGATTCGATATCGATGGAACCACAAAAAAATGATGAAAAGTCCATTTTCGATCTGGAATTTTTTTTTTTTTTTTTGTCGTCCAGAAAGAGACTTTTCATTTATATTTATAAAAGCAAAATTGCTTGCATTTCCTATGGGGGATTGTTGAGATAAAGTGGAAAAAATGACGAGATAATAAATATTAAAGTCGACGATTCACGATATCGTAAAAATTGTGTCAAGTTTTTACGATTTCACCTTTTTTTTTTTTTGTTGTAAAAAAAGTATTTTGAATAAAAAAAAAAATAGAAAGTTGAATCGAAAAATCGACAAAAATTCTTGTTTCATTTTTATCGACTCTTATTCAATAGAGAGGAATTGCTCACAGAACGACTCACGTAATGGAAATGAAGTTGAAATACAAAAAAATAAACTGATTTATGTAATACGAAACGCAAAAAGTAATAAGGTTTGATAAATTAAGAGAGTTTGGATAATAAAAAAATTGCGTTCAAAGGAACGCAACATAATCAGACTGACCGGACAGGCTTCTATTAGAGCTTCCTGATTAATTACTTAATTATCTTTTGCATCGTTAGTTTTTAAAAAAGCGAATCTTATTTTGCCCAGTCGCGGAAATAATCAATTTAAAAAAAAATATTCAGAAAATCGATAAATAAAAAATTGAAATTATAATATGAATAAAATTCGCTGATTTAATTATAACAAGTATTCCATAAATCTATTTTCAATATTTTTTTTTCTATTTGCGTTGTCTAGTCTCTGCATTGAAAATAGCTAATGCGAGCGATTAAGTTCTCCCCCCTAAAAAAAAAAAACAATTGTACGAATAAATAAATTTTAAGGTAAAGCGCCCCCGAAAGCCAACATTGTGAAGAATTGTATTATAACCAACATTCCACGCAATAACGATTATAGGAATGGATATTGTAAATTTTTATGAGTCGAGAGATACACTAATTTAAATGTACTTTTGTGTAATTTTTTTTCCTTTTTTTTGTACTATTACCGATTATATTATAATATATATACGATACTAATCAAGGGACGTACCCGCCCATCTAGGTGCAACTAGTAATATATTATATAATAAATAATAGTTATATCTAAGCAGCGGTATACGTTTTATAATAGTGCAGCATGATATTTTTATATGATATATTATACACAATGTAATATTTTGATAAACTGCAGATCTACTCTGAATTGATTTATTATTATTGTTTGTTTGAAAAATAAATTTAAAAAAAATTCATTATTGAAAGCCTTGAGCAAAGATGTATTGAGAGAATTAAAAAAAAAAAATTTTGTATTGCTACTTTTTAATAAAAAGTCTTTGCACGCCCTATTAGAAAATTTTCGTTTTTAACTATTTTTGCCTTTTTCCTTATTTGAAAAAATCCCTCTCCCTAGTTACTTGTTTTTTTTTTTTTTTGGAAATAAATTAATAAAAGAAAATATTTTCTGATTTATCAAAAAAATAATTATTTTTATTTATAAAAAATTTATGTATATTATTTGCATCTTTAAAAATTAAATAACGTTTCTTAAAATTTGAAAATTTCATTATAATTTAAAAGTGGAAAATAAAAATTAGAAAAACAACAAAAAATAGTACAATTATTATTGCATTATTATAATTAATGCATTTAAATAAATTAAAGTGAACGCATATTAGACGAATATAAATTCGTCCCGCACTCAGGACAAGGAAATGTGTCCGTTGCAGTGAAATATGCTTGTAAACAATAATAACAAAATATATGTTGACAGCCTGCATATCTTGGTAAAATTGGCCTCTGATGACAATGTGGACAATTTGTCGATAAATTCAATGTCGGTTGAATATTGACAATTTTTCCAGAGACATTTCTTCTTGACCATAATTGATTTAATTTTTGTTTAATATAATAAAAATTCACCATTGGCAAACCAATTGTAAATAATTCTATTAAACCATGCCAGAGTAATTCCCTCGTCATATAAGAATATCCAATGTTTCTCAATCTATTTGTAATTGCCGATTGACTAGAAATTCTTAATAATCGCTCAATTAAATTTGGTTGTGATCCTCGATGTAAAAATAAAATTAAATTCATCAATTCCAATATTCGAATAATATTTGCTGTCCATTCAAAATAAATTTTTAATTTATTGTTTTGTGATATTACAATGTATTGCGAGTCTATGATACGTTCTTGGATGTATTTTGGTAAAGTTGCAAGTAAAAAATGAAAAAATGCTTTTCTCTCATTAAATCGGTCGTATTTTAAATTTAACAATTGTTGTCCAAATGTTGCGTCTCCTTTTCTCAGGGAATAATACCAAATTAAGAATTTAATAGAAACATCCAATTCCGGTTGCCATTTATCAATTATTCCCGGTTGAATGTTTTTTGTTATTTGTTTGGATTGAGTGCGAAAAATTTCATAGATTTCATGATCCAATTGTGTTGCATCGATTTGATTAATTCGTGACACATATGGTGAGGCTGGCATTGTTCTCTTCATCTATATATGAAAAGAAATATAAAATTTAATTATTTTTAATAAGGAAATAGTGTCAAAAAAAAAATATTTGTCAATTCATGTTTGATGAAAAAGTATCCTTTTCGTAAAAACTTACCAAAATATATAATTTAACGTTAAGTATTAATTACTAAATAATTCTCTATTTATCTTAATTAATATTTCTTTTTAATATTTCATTATTTAAATCAATAATTCATTGTCATTAAATTTGACACTTCTCAAGATATAAATACAATTTACCTATTTTTGAATTTTAAGTCAAGCTTTTCAACTATAACTGATTTCTACTTCACCGGAATATTATTTTCCACAATAAAAATGTTTACTCAATTATTTTCTAATTAAATAATTGTTAAAAAAACAGGTATTAATTGTTTATTTTGAAAATATTGACATTTTAATATTTATAGGTTAGACTAAAACTTTCGGATATGACCGCTAGGGGCGTGATTTCCGGACCGGATTTGCCGGTGCGGTGTGTGACGTGACGTCATTGATGTACGTGTGCCCGTGCGTGCAACTTGGTTTCGTTTGCTCAAAGTTTCGGATCATGCTTTTGTGATAAAGTTGACGTTTTCAGTGTTTATTAATTTGTTTTAGTGATTTCAGTCTAACTTAATAAGTGCCTCGTGTCGTAGTGTATCAGTAAGACATGAGGTAAGCAGCGAAACTTATGTAATGTTCTTTTTTGCAAATTTCATGTAAACCCCAGTGAACATCGATCTGCCAAGTGACAAGATAACCTCTAATTTTACGTCAATGCTAATTTGACGCTAGTTTTTTTTTTTGAAAAAATTGCGTATACTTTTTGAACTTGTGGACATAACCTCACTTTTTCAAATACTATCAAAAGGATACGCCTTTGCAAACAAAAAATTGGAAATTTCGCACGTAATTGGTAAGTATTTTCAGATTTCTATCTTTTTCTGACACTTGTTCAACATTTCTCCATTTTCTTGTAAAGAGCATAGTTTTTTAATGTAAAAATTTACGCATTAAAAAAACGGAGATATTTGGATGAGGTGGATTTAATTTTTTAACAAATTGATATTTTACTTTTAATCATATCAGTTTTAATTATCACATTGCATATGTTTGTTTACTATTTTTGACAATTGGTTCAATTAAACTTTAATTGTATCTAAAGGTAATTTGTTTCATTAATTAATTATAGATTAGATAATTCTTGTTAAACAAGGACAATTATACAGTTAATTATTTGGAACAGAAAAATTAATATTTAGGTGATTTGTAACGTAAATTATTTATAGTAGTAAATAATTATGTATTATTAAATTCATTTGGTGGTTGATATTAAGCATTAAAAGCAAATCCTATACGGTTAGAAAATATTATTTGAGTGAATCTAATTGTATTGGATTTGACAAATTGGGTAAAATATTAGATTAAAATTGCTCCAGTTGGCACTTAGAGTTTTGAGCTCTGTTTCCAATTATCTGAATTTTATATCGCCCACTTATTTTACTATGCGTGTAAGGTCCAAGACCTTGACGTTGGAATTTTATTTTTACTCTAAATGATTTGTTATGCAAGCTAACTAACTTGGCTGATTTCCAATTGTATATCTTTGATTTTGAAGTTTACCTTGTGCTTACCTTACCCTTAAATGTCACATTTATTTAGTTTCTTTGTATAATTTTATTTTGCTTCCATTTATTATTATACTTTAAAATAATTCTTTTTACGTCAGATATAAGTTACCTTCTCTTTATGAAAAAAATAATTTTCTGTTAATTAAAAGTTACAACATTTGTGAATACAAGCTGCGGAAAGTAAATTAGACATAAATTATCTCAAATTATTATTTATCTTCTTATTACCTAGGCATTCCTTGTCAGAGGGAATAGTGCATTGCACATGAATTCCCTTGGAGGTAATAAACAATACTTGGCTCTTCTGGTCGCGTTGCATTTGTTCAAAATTACCAAACCACGGTCTAAAGGGATTCATTTGTCATTTGAATTTCAAAACCGCGATACCAGCATAATTAATTATCACCTGTTATAATCGTTTAAAATACCGTAATTAAGAAGAAAATTTTGTTTGACAGGACAATGTTATTAATTTTAGTTTCTGTAATTTAATTAAAAAATTTTTTTTCGTAATTTTACAATTAATATTAATTTTATTTGGTAATAAATTCTAATTTTACTATTTATATAAGTAGAAATAATTTAGAAACAAATTTAAAAATTCCCACCTGTGAAAATTGACCAATTAGAGAGCTTTGAGGTTTTGGCACTATATTTTATCAACTACCAATCAGAACTTGTCTTTTTCCCTCGTAAAATTCTCATTATTTTTCTTTACGACGCCATTTTTAATTAATTGTGTCTCTTGAATTTTGACAAGTTTTTCATAAGATTTTTGTTCTTAATTAATTTAATTCTTGTAGTAAATTATCGTGCAAGTAAAGTGGTGTATTTTCTTTGTAAAATTTGGTTTGAAAACAATAATTACATGATCGAAATGTATTGTCGAAATTTTTCTCCCTTGAAGATAAGCGGAAAAACTTTTTCCAGGTAGAAAAAGAAGACTATCGTACTATGTTTATTCTGATCTGAAATTTATTCGGATTTCATTGTATTTTGTTTAAAAGAATATTCTTTCAGGCTATATAAAATAATCGAAAATTTTTTGTAATTTTTAGGTTATACATTTTGTAACATTCTTCCATTTTAACAATTAATAGTCAATAATTGACTCACCAATATTTGTTATATCTGAAGTCAAAAGATTTATTTTTGTCGAATTTTTTTAGGTTATGGTGGAATGGAAGTGTAGTGGTCAATATGTAACGAATGTAATTAATGTGATATTCTTTTCCCAATTTGGTGCATTTTTTGACAGGAATTGGTAAGATTTTTATCTGTCTTATTAATTTGATATATCCGTTTAATTTTATGGAATTTAAATATATTAGGCGAATTTTTCTTTTTTTTTTGAGTGTAGGTGAAATATACAAAATGAATTCAATTTTCTATCGTAATTTAGAAAATATGTACGTTTATAATTTTTTTAATTTTATACTTATATGTATTTATTTTTGTTCTTAATTTTTCCTTTTTATTAAATAATTAATTTTTGCTAACAAATCTTACATTATTAAAAATTAATGTAGTCTAATGTAAAATAATAAATTTATTAGAAACTGTTAACGTACATTTAAAAAAATCAATTTACTTGTTGATGTCTGTAATTGATTTATTCTCGTTATCGATGTATACTTTTAGTGATAGGTTGGAATAGAATTCTTGGAATTATATTTTCTCCTGCACTCAAGTTGTTTGCATAAATTAATGATAATAAGTGTTTGTTCAAGTAATTTATAAATTCTTAAGTGGAACAATTAATTATTTAAAAAAAATAATATAATTTTTTTTTCTTTTTAAATTATATTCAAAACAATTAAAAATTTCGTTATCGATATGAAAATTTTGTTTAACTTTATTTTGTTGAAGAGTTGAATCGCTTTTTAAAAATGAAAGGCCAATTGAATTATAAAAAAAAAAAGGAGAGTGCCTCACAGCAATGAAACAGGTGGCACCTAACAGAGTTCAGAAAAGTTTTTGCCGCACTGCTTCTTGCATAAAGGTGGCATCTGCGGAAACTCCATTTATTTCAGCATGTATGCTCTTTGACCCCATTCATTGGGGTCAAACTTTTCAATAAAATTGAGAAAAAGTTTCTACTTCTTTTTTTGTTTTTGAGGAAAAATACTTTTACACGAGGAAAGAATAGAGAATTTTTTTTTTTTTAGAACAGGTCTAAAGTTATACATTAAAAATAATTTGAAATACACTGACGAAATTTTAATTGAGTGAGACAAAAATTTATTTATAAGGGAAAATTAATGAATCAATTTTCTTTTTACTAATAGTAGATTTTTTTTCTTTAGGGAAACTTTTGATTGGAGGCTGTAGGAGGTTGATTTGAAAGAAGCTAATGGTTCAGTCGGTACAGTGGACCAGAGGGCTGGTTGGAAAAGTCAAGTTTTGGAGGTTAGGTGGTGACGCCAGGCGTGGCGAGGGTATTGATCGCAAATTTCCCTTCCCGGTCCACCTACAACAAGCGACGTTATCCAGTATTTCTAACCCTCTGCCCCCCTCTCGTCATCGTTGGGGTTCTCAGCTTCGACTCACCCACTACTGTCACTATTCTACTACAACCCTTTTCTTCCACTTTACCTCTTTTGCAACCCCTCATTCATTCCTATGGCACCACGCGGTAATACCATAACCTCACATTCACCTTTTTTTTTCATTTCTCAACGTTTCTGTATAATTTTCCATAAAATCGTATATAATTAATGACTAATAAATCGAGGAGAAAATAGTTCGCACATAGTGCGTCTTTGCATAATAAACTAGGAAGTCTTAGGATGAAGTTTGCTTTGAGCTTTCAATAATAGCTTGATTTTACTAGTTTCGAAACTTTAGAGTAGAAGAGCAAGGGCAACTTCTCAGATCAGAATTAATTGTGGTCGTTATCAAAAACTTTTGCATTATCTCTATATCAGTTGGACAGGTTGGACTTGACATATTATTATCAATGAAATTTGATTTTAATTATATAATTAAAATAATTATCTAGTGAATATTTTTTAAAAATTTTTTTTTCAAAACTCGAAATTATATTGAAATTTAATAGAAATATTATTCACACCTGATGAGGTAATTTTATCCTTGTAAAATTAGCTCATCCTTCCTTGAAACCACTGAAATTTAAATTGCATCGCAAAATAATTATCTCATCGTTCCCAGAATAATATCACTGAAACGGTTGGATATTAAGGGATTCTGTACTCAAATTCATATTCGAATAATTTTATTACAAATGTTTGTTTTTCCAGAAATTAATTTTGGGATTGTATCGATGTCAATTACTAATAATTGTCTGAATAATTTTGATCAATGCTTTATTTACATTTGATAATCAGAACTTTGATTTAGCAATTTTGATATTAGGAAAGGAAGCTATTTTTTTTAAATACAAAAAAAGTTAAGGTCTTTTTTCCCGTACTCGTTTTCAATCGTTTGTTGATTAAAATTTCCTCTCTCGCGAGCAATCGCAAAGTCGATCTTTGATATTCCAACACTTCCGTGAGTGATTCTTCTTGTTCTTATCGATAACTCAATCCCAAGTTTCCCTTTTTGGAAAAAGAGAAAGAAGCGAAAAGGAAATTGCGACGAAGAGTAGCCCAACCCTGAAAACTGCAGACGCTCTCGGCGCCCGCCTAATTGACATCCGACCGCCCCATTATGCACTCCTTCCCCTTGATGTTATTAAATTAAGTTTCTGCCGCGCCATGAAGATTTATTGCTTTAACTTCTTTTTTACGGTTCGTTTTTCGAATAGGTGACTTTTGTTTCTACCAAAACTTTTTGTATTTCAG